ATGTCAATAGGCTTGGAATGAATTTTTCTGTATGAAACTGTGTGTTTTGACAATGAAGAGGAGATCTTTTTTAAACATTGGAACCTAATTTAATTTTATCTCTTAGAGAGTTTATAATGAGTATAAGATTTTATAAGTGTAATAATTCATCTGTAAACCTAGAAATGTACAGCCAATTTTGAAAGAGATGTACCCTAGCTCAGAAAAATGTTATTGAATAGGTTAATGCTGTTGTAATGAAATGCTTCTTTTAATTAAAATAAATAAATTAATTTAAAAAAAATTTTTAAAAAAAGTCAGGAGATTAAATTCCAGCTCAGCCTTATTATTCCTTTCATGGGCTTAGATGACCATAGGGGGCTGAATTCAATGGTGTCAGCATTACCTCCTGAAAATCTCCAATTTCTTGCCTTGTCTGCACATTTATTGGGTTGTTCTGGGGACAAATGAAAAGTGTTTCATAAAATGATGACACTAAGATGGCTCTTCATTTCTCAAATACATATGTGTTACTTGAGCTATTTCTTTTCCTTTTTTACATTTATTTATTTTTGTGTGCATGTATGTGTGCATACTCTGTGTGGGAAATCTGAGTACAACTCTGGGTTTTCTCCTTCTACTATCTGGGTTCTGGGGACTGAACCCAAGCCTGAAGGCTTGGAGGCAAGCATCCTGACCCACCCAGACATCTTGCTGGTTGATCGCCCTATTTCTGAGTAAATGTGATCCATACTGTGTCTGAAGGACACCAAGGTTGGTTTGACCTCATAGGGATGCTTTCCTGCACTACTTGGTGGTAGGGAAGAAGAGAGTAAATGAACAGAAAACAGGATTCCCCAGCGAGAGAGCAGTAGAACCAGGGCCAGTGACATCCAAGACAGTGAACTTGATGGGTCAGCACAGAATTCCTAAAGAACTATAGGAAAGAGAGTGAGCCCCTGTCTCAAAACCAACCATCCAACCAACCAACCAACCAACCAATGTTCAATTAACTCAATGGTAAAGCTTACTAAAAAATAACAAAGTTAAGGGGCTGGAGATGGCTCAGCGGTTAAGAATACTGGTTGATCTTGCAGAAGACCTGGGTTTGAATCCCAGAACCTACATGGCAGCTAACAACTGTCCATAACTCCAGTTATGGATCCAATAGCCTCTTCTGTCCTTTGTGGGCATTGCACAACATGGGTGCACTTACCTACATGCAGACAATACATGCATACACATAAAAAAATAATAAAGTTGACTCCTCAGGCTCCAAATGATGACCACATGACAGCTATGTCTGTCAACCCTGAAATCTCAGTGTGCTCCTGATGAGATCCATCTTGAAACATTGTTGGATTCTGTGACATTTGAGGATGTTGTCGTGAACTTCACCCAGGAAGAATGGGCTTTGCTGAATCCTTCTCAGAAGAATCTCTACAGAGATGTGATGCTGGAAATCTGTAAGAACTTCACTTTTATAGGAAACAGTTATGAAGATGAGAATAATAAAGATCATTGTAAAAGTTCTGGAAAAAAATCTAAGAATTTTCTTGTTCAAGACATTCTGTGAGCATAAAGATCTTCAGGATGGAGAAACTTTCACGTGGATAGCAAATGATGATATGAACATGAAAATTTCTGGTGACCTAACACCATGTGAAAGCAATGTGTGTGGAAAGGTTTCCATGTGTCATTCATCCTTTAATAACCATCTCACCTCTCACTCTCAATACAAATCATATGAGCATGGGGTATATGGAAACAAGCTGCAGGACTCTAACTCTTTCAGAAGCTGTCAAACATATAATGAGAACTCACACTGTAAATGGACCTTTTGAATACAAGATAGGCTTAAAGTAAAAAAAAAAAATAACAAAGTTAAATCATGATGACTGTAGTAGGAGCGAGATACGGTGGCTCAGACCTGTAATCCCAGTACTCAGGAGGCTGAAGCAGATGGATCGCCATAGGGTCAAGGCCAGCCTGGGCTACACAGTAGTTCCAGAACAGTCTGGGCTACAGAATAAGATCCACTTTCAAAACAACAACAAAACAACCCCTCAACAACAAACCCAAGGGGAGAAAAAAAATCCCAAAATACAAACAGAAAAAAAAGTAGAGGAGAATGCTCTGCTGAGTTCTTACCTCATCAATATTCTGTTAAATACCAACTGGTGTGCTGCAATTCTTTCCTGGTACTCACCATCCAGCGCTAGCAAAGACTTTGTGAGATAAAAGGTCACAGTTTACAGCAACATTGCATTTATTTTAGATGCCAGCTGCGAGTTTGGGTTCCAGGGCCACCTACATTTCCAACTGACTGGCCACAAATTCAGGGTTTCCCACTGTCTTCCTCAGATGAAAAAGCTTCCTAGAATTACTAGGGGCTGAGGGTGTAGCTCAGTAGTAGTGTGCTTGCTTAGTATGTGCAAGGCTCTTCTTCCATCCTCAGGTACCACAACACACCACCACCACCACCACCACCACCCCCCAAAAGGAAAGGATCAGAAAAGAAAGAAAAGAAGTAGCCATGATGGTTCACATAATCCCAGTAGTGGGGAGATGGAAGCAGGAAGAACAGAAGTTTGAAGCCAGCCTGGGCTACATAGTGAATTCCAGGGTAGGCTGGGCTACAGGGTGAGATACTGCTTCAAAAAGCTAAAACCATGTGGGTGTGGTGGTACACCTTTAATCCCAGCACTAGGGAGGCAGAGACAGGCAGATCTCTGTGAATTCGAGGCCAGCCTGGGCTACATAGTTCCAGGCCAGCTGGGGCTACTGGGAGACCCTGTATCAAAAGGCCAAAAAAAAATAAATTAAAAAAAAAAAAGATATAACAAAAGAGAGGGAGAGAGGGAGGATACAGGAGCAACAGTGGTGTGGCTCAGGAGGTACTTAGGGTAAGAACTATGATAACGAAAACTTGCCTCAAAAAAACCCCAAAATAACAAAGCCCCAAACAGCAACAGATACTCCTGGGGTTGATTGATCCTCCGTACCACCATTAACAAAAGACATCTGAACTCTGTGTGTCTGTGTGGCGGGTCATCCCAGCGCTGGGGAGCAGACAGGAGGCTCGCAGTAGAGAGCAGTCCGGGATACATAGCGAGACCCAGTCTCCAAAAGGACACCGCGGACAGGGGAACATCTTCAGGCCACACGTGTAAGCGTGTAACCCCGTGCGTGCTCGCCTCCGTGTGCACGAAAGATGTGCGCAGTGTTCCTGTAAGGAAGCTAATAGTTTTTGCAGCAGAGCTTCAGCATGCACGAGCGACTCTATGCAAGACTTCAATTTTTGGCGGGTGTACCCTTTTCCCTCTAAAACACAGTCCATGTTGTTAGCTCTGAGCTGGGAGTTAATCACCTGGAGCGCTTCTGCACGGTCGGGATCTACCCTGGGCTAAGTTTCTTGGCATAGTCTACGCCCTCCCCTTCCCTCCCGGCGAAGGTGGTTGCTCCCTGCTCACCCGGAAGAGCTTATTGTCCGGGCCTGCTGCTCAAGCTCGAGTTGACATGGAGCTGTCGGGCAGTGACGGCGGCGCACTTAACCCCACCGAGTTGGCCCCGGCCTCAGTTACCCTGGCGCAGCTCCTGCAGCTGGTCCAGCAGGGCCAGGAGCTCCCGGGCGTGGAGAAACGCCACATCACTGCGACCCAAGGCGAGCCCACGACGTCGCGGCTCCCGCGGAGGCCCAAGCCCTGGGAGGCCCCATCATCAGGCACCCCCGCCCTAGACCCGGGAACCGCGGCCCCGACCGTCGAGGAGCGGCCCCAGCCAGGCGGTGGCCCCAGGGGTCCTGAGGCTCGAGGTCTTTTGCAGCTGAGATCTGGAGGGGGCGACTGCCCTGTATGAACTTGAGACTCTGGACACCTGCCATCCTTGCTGCGTTTGCCCTGACCTGTCTCAGCTGGATCTCATCCTCCTGGGAGCTTCCACGTTGCTCAGTAATTATGCCTTTGGGTCATGAATCTCGGCTTAATACCCTGTTGTAGTCTGTCACTGATACAAGTCAATTTTGCCACCTGCAAGGCATGTGTTTTCATTTACCAACTCACTGGGGTCTAACCACATGGTTCAGCTTATCCTGCTGATACCGGAGAAATGAACCTGGGATCCAAGCATTTTTACTTTGCAGTCACTCAGGTTCGGTGATAAAACTTGGTCCTGGAATGATATAGCAAATAAAATCAATCCCAAAACATTTAAAAAAAAAAAAAATCCTGAGCAACAACATAGTCCTAGAAATTCTGGCTCTTGGGACCTGCCTACATTAAAGAAGGGCCCACACCACCTTCTGCAGTATCATTATTAGGGTGCTCGGGGTGGATACATCATGACAGGCTGTGCAGATCAGAGAACATGTGGGAGACAGCTTCCTCCTTCCACCATGTAGGTCCCTGGGGGCAAACATAAGTTGTCAGGCTTGGCAGCAAGACCTTTATGGACTGAGCATATTGTATCCTGGGAGCCCTTCAGTCTCTTTAAAATATTTTATTTTTTTGTCTTTTTGAGACAGGGTCTCCCTGTAGCCCCAGCTGTCCTGGAACTCACTATGTAGACCAGGCTGGCCTTGAACTCACAGGGATCCACCTGTCTCTGCCTCCCGAGTGCTGGGATTAAAGGCGTGCGCCACCATGCCCAGCAAAAGATTTTATTTTAAAATTATGTCTGTGCATGTGAGTGCAGGTGCCCATGGAGGCCAGAGGTGTTGATCCCCTAGAGCTGGATTTACAGCAAGTTGTGAGTTGCTCAAGATGGGGGGGGGCGCATCCTCTATTATGTCTTCAGATGCCTGCAGTGTCTTCAAGATATTTTATGTGTATGTGTGCGCCTGCAAGAGTTTATGTACACCACGTGTGCATGTGCAAGAGAACAGACAAGGGTGTTGGTTCTCCTGGGTCTGGCAATTGTGAACTGCCATGTGGGTGGTGGAAAGTGCATCCAGTTCTCTACAAAAGCAGTAAGTGCTCTTAACTACTGAGCCCTCTCTCAAAGTCCCTGAAGTCAGTCTTAAGCGGCAGGCCACGGCATCTCCTCCGGTTTTCTAAACTAATTGTAAAACCTAGATGATATTTTGTATGTAACCTGTCATGAAAACTCCATACTAACATAGTTTACTGACAATAAAATAGGTGTAGCTCTTCCCAGAAATGTTTCACAACTTGTTTAGGAAGTGTGACATCATGGTATGTTACAGGGAAATAATTTTTTAAAAAAGAGGGCTTGAGAAGTGGCTCAGCGGTTAGGCATACTTGTTCTTGCAGAGGCCCCTAGTTCCAGTCCCAGCACTGTGTTGGGCAGCTCCTAACAGCCTGAAACTCTAGCTCCAGATCTAACACCTCCCCAGCAGCAGAATCCACATGGCATACACTACTGACACATAACAAAATGATCTCTTTTATTTATGTAGAACTCTTAAGTTTACAAACTTCTCATTAATGGTTTTTTTTTTTTTTTTTGGTCTTTTTGAGACAGGGTTTCCCTGTAGCCCCAGCTGGCCTGCAACTCACTATGTAGACCAGGCTGGCCTCAAACTCAGAGATCCTCCTGCCTCTGCCTCCCGAGTGCTGGGATTAAAGGCGTGCGCCACCACATCCAGCTTCATTAATGTGTTTTAACCACCACACAGCAGATAGGAGACCGCTGTTCCATTTTACAGGCCTCCTTTACTTTGGGGAACCGAGCTGGAGACCAAGCTCAGGGCCTCACATATAGGCAAGCGCTCTGATGCTGACCCTGCTCCCATATTTAGTAAGGTATGGGGGTTTCTATCCATAGCCTTAAACACCCATGAGCATTTTCCCATGACTGTACACTACATCATGCTACAGTAATGTGATTTCACAACACTCCACAACAGAAGAGTGGCACCTATTACTGGCAGGTTAACTGGAACTAATCCGTTACCTCATAACTGGCATGTTCTAAGGCATTGTTACAGCTTTCAATTTCATAGCTATGTTTTCAAGGGTCCCATGAGCCAAAATGACAGGAAGGCAGATTCGAAAGCTTCAAGGAAAATAAGAGCCAAGACTATCTTCTGTGTAGCTGGAGTTTGGCACATCTTCACCAATTGTTAGGATGGCAAGCTGAGGCAACAGAGCCTGGGGTGGGCAGTGATGAAAACCATCAGACCCACCTTCTCCAAGACTAACATCTGCAAGTCTTGCTGGGGCTTACCACAGCATTACTAGTCCCAGAAGGCAGTGTTCCTAAAATCCCGAGTATGTAAGAAAACCATTCAACTGAAGTTGCCTACCCAGGACCCAAAAGGCTTTGGGAAAAAGGTCTCACCACTTAAAAAAAAAAAAAAAAACTTATGCGTATGAATGAACTGCCTGCTTATTATGAGTGCACCTGTGTTGTGCAACACCGCAGAGGTCAGAAGAGGGCATCGGATTCCCCTGGAACTGGAGTTGAGCACGGTTTGTTGAACCTGGGTCCTCTGCAAGAGTAGTCAGTGCTCTTAACCGCTGAACCATCTCTCCAGCCCCAACTTTTTTTGGTCTTTGAGACAGGGTCTGCCTATAGCCCCAGCTGTCCTGGAACTATGTAGACCAGGCTGCCTCTGCCTTCCAAGTGCTGAGATTACAGGCATGTGCCACCATGCCCGGCCCCAACTTCATTTTTTTTTTTTTTTTTTTTAAATAAACTTTTATTCCTGTGCATGCCCAAAGACTGCAGAAGAGGTACTGGATCCCCTGGGGTTGGAGTTATAGGTGGTTGTGAGCCTTCTGTTGTAGGTGCTGGGAACTGGGTTCTTCACAAGTATAGTAAGTGCTCTTAACTGCCGAGTCATTTACCTAGTCCTCCACTTTTGATTTTTTTGAGGCACAGTCTCTCATTTCAGCCACTGTGCTGTGTACTCCTAGGTGGCAGGCCCTGAATCTTCCAATTCTATCTCCATCTCTTCTATTGACCCTGCTGAGGTGACAGAAGTGTACTGTCAACTCCAGGTTCTTTTTTTCTTCATGCCAGTTTTTGTCAGGCTTGTGTGACAAGCACTTTTACCTGCAGAGCCATCTCACCAGCCTCGATGTGGGTTTTATAGAAAGGGCTGATCAGGGAAATCCAACAAGTCTATCTTGAAGCTCAGAGGTAAACTTGGTGGGCATTTCCTAGGTATACATGGTTCAGGAAGCAACACTGTCACTAAAGTCTTTTAAAAAATATATCTTATTATTTTATGTGCATTGAGTGTATTGCCTGCATGTAAGTGCACTCATGTTGTGCAGTCCCTGCAGAGGTCAGAACAGGGTGTCGGATCCCCTGGAACTGGAGTTATAGATGGCTGCTACCCACCATGTTGGTGTTGGGAACCAAACTTAGGTGCTCTGCAAGAGCAGCCAATGCTCGTAACTGCTGAGCCATCTCTCCAACCCCATGTCACTATAGTCTTCACAGGAAACACCAATTGGTAAGCTTCAGTCTGCTTCAGGGCACAGAACCAGAGGTCAGGGCCTAGTGGACCAATGGTCATAAAAGCAAGACACCCTCACAGAGCATGCACAGGCCTTGAAAGGGCCTAGCAACAAGTTCCAAGTAAAAACTGAGTACAGGCATATCCTGTTTAAAGGGGTTTCTCCTTTCTTAAATTCTAGCTAGAGATGAGGACTGTCAATAGCAGGTTAGGATACGAGTGCCACCATATACACTCAGTCAAGCCTGACAGGTCAAAGGTGACACTGAGAACACAAGAATAGACTCAGCACAGAAAACCGAGCACCTGTTTTTGTGATCTTCCTAACTGCATTTCATGACTTTGTGGAAGACAGCACCTAGCTGTAATCCTAGCTCTGGGAGGCTGAGGCAGGACTGCTGAGTTTAAGGCCAGCCAGGGCTATAGCCAATGAGAAACCCCCACAACAATATAAAAAAATAGGCCCTGGAATTCCCAGATTCAAGTATGCCTCTGGGTCTGGTCCACTGCTGCAGGAGTCCTGGGGAGGCCCATACATGTTTGGGCTATTTATCCACCAACATTAAACACCAACACAGAAGATATAACCATCCAGTCAATTCCTTCATCCAAGGCATCCAAGGTGTTGATTTTATAGAATGGCAGCCAATGGGGGAAATAATACTCTTCCTTGGAAGTAGACTGTGAGGACATGCCTGCAACACATACTGTTCTGTCTCCTGATTCCTTCCTTCAGTCTTTGAAGGCAGAAAATAATCTTCTCTGAAGATACTTGATAATTAAAAGACCCCAAAAATACTTCCAATGTTTCGTGCTTTTGAAAAACCTAAGGAAGAAAAAACACAACTGCGTCAACATGAACCGGCAGCAATTCAGCACTGAGCATAAAGACAGAAAGCAGCAACACAAAGCCATTCAGAAGGTTAAACTCCCACAAAAATAGTAAGTAGTCTTCGAATACTTTCAAAATTAAGTTATTCCCCCAATGTCACTTTTTTCTCCGGTATCAGCTAAATGACCAAACAATAACGTTTTCTAGCCTGCAACTTACCAGTCACAGTCCCATGTTCTAATCAGGTGCTGGCCCTTCTAAGGAGGTTCCCATGCTTGCCTCCAGTCCTAAGATTACTCTCAAAGACAGCTCGGCAGTTAAAAGCAGACTGCTCTTCCAGAGTTTGATTCCTTACACCCATGTCAGGCAGCTCACAACTGCCTCTAACTCTAGCTCCTGGAGATCCAATGCCTTGGCCTCCCTGAGCACCTGCCCTCATGTGGCACATACTCACAAACACACATACATGACCTAAAAAAAAAAATAAAAAAAAGAAAAATACTCTCAAATAGTGGAAAAGGCACCGAGACTTGTGGTAGTGGGGACTGAACCAAGGGCCTGTGCACTCTAAGCATGCTCTCTACCAGTGATTACACCTCTGGCCCACAAAGGGATTTTAAATGACAAAGCATGGCCCATCAAAAGCCAGATGAGCCAGATGTGATGGTGCACACCTTTAGTCCCAGCACTCCTGAGGCAGAGGCAGGAGGGATCTCCATGAGTTTCAGTCCAATCCGGACTACAGTCAGTTCAAGGACAGCTAAGGCTACACAATGAGACCCTGTCTCAAAAAAAAATAAATAAATAAAAAAGGGGTGGGGTGGCTGGAGAGATGGCTTCCCCATCTGTACAGTAGCTTAATAAGCAATTCTTGTTATGATGAATCAGAGAAAAGAGACCCCATCACCCCAGAGTTCAAGAGATACAGGGAACCTTCTAGCAGAGCCCACCCAGATTTTAAACAAACAAAGGTCAGACCAACGGCCAGTGATTTCTGTCAAGACTGACTACTTGACTTTAATCTCTGGGACCCATATAGTTGAATGAAAACACTCCTCCAAGTTGCCCTGACAGCCCCATGGGCATACACATGCATGAGTGTGCACACACACACCAAGAGCAGTCTGGTGCTCAGCCTCACCTGGTCTAGTTCAGCTGGCGGATGAGCTGATTGATGCGTTCACCCCGGTAGCCAGGCAAGCCCATCTCCTTGAGGAATCCCACCCTGTTCTTGGTAGCATGACGGGCCACAGAGAGGTGGAAAGGGCACAAGAATGAGGCAATATCCTGGAAATGCTTCCCTGGGAAGGCAATTTCATGGATGAGGTCTTCCAGGCAAATGACACCAAATCTCCCTGAGAAACACAGGTAGGATTCCGTCACCATCTAGCCAGTATTCGGTGAGCTCTTACACAACAGAGTTGAGTTTGGACTGCATAAAAATATGCCCTGGATCCCAAACCATGGTAACCAAACCCGTTTTCTTCCCCAATTGACCCTGAGGTTGCCGCACTCACCCAGGTGTTCCTCAATCATTGTGTTGTCCGTCAGAGGGATGGTCTTGTTCTGTACCCTGGCTTGTCCTCGTTTCAAGATGAGTTCCCGGACAGACTTCAGATTTGGGAATCTATGAGGCAGAATAAAGCAGCCTGCATTGTACTGGCCACTCAGTTCTGGCTGAGAAGAGGTGGACGAGCTCCCTGCACAGCGTCCCCTAACTAGGGAGTGGATTGCATTCCCACTCTAGCTGGATGGTTGGGAATACACAAGGACAGGATGAAAAACTGGGAGTGGACAGCAGGCACACTGCCTCTGCCTCCCAAGTGCTGGGATTGAATGTGTGCACCACCATGCCCGGCATTTTTGTTTTCTTTTAAAACAGGGTCACCTTGTAATCCCAGCTGGCCTGGAACTTCTTGGACCAGGCTGGCTTCCATCTCAGACACTTGCCTGCTTCTGCCTCCCAAATGCTGGGATTAAAGGAGTGCAACATCACCAAGCCTGGGCCTCAACCTTGTTTTGAGACTGGGGCTCAGAGTATAGCCCAGGCTGCCTTGGGACTCTTGGTAATCTCCTGGTTTAGCCTCTTGAGTGCTGGGATTATAGGTGTGGGCCTCCCTACCCAGACAAAAATACTGCTGTAGCACACACCTTTAATCCCAGCACTTGGGAGGCAAAGGCAGGTGGATCTCTGTGAGTTCAAGGCCAGTCTGGCCTACACAGTGAATTCCAGGACAGCTGGGGCTACAGGGAGACCCTGTCTCAAAAAGACCAAAAAAAACCCCAAAGCAACCAATAAAAAAACTACTACTGTCACATAAGCACTGACTTGACTCTGGCTACAGAACTCTAGACATTGCTCTCTCTCTCACCCATCTTACTTAGTCTCAACTTACAACTGGTACTATACAGGACTGGGATCATTAGCAGCATGACCATCCTCCTCCTCTGCCTACATTTCATGTCCCAAGGTTTCTGACACCTGGATATGCTGTTGTACTGGGGCTACAGCAGTGTGTGACACAGCAACATGAACCTTGGAAAACAATACCCTGTGTACCCTCACATACTCAAACACAATAGAATTCACATGGAAAGTGTACTCACCCCCAGGTCACATAAGGCTCCACTATGCGCAGCATTTTTATGCTATGGGGGGTGACTTTGACAAAGACACCACTAAACAATTTCTTCAGACGAAGTCTGGCAATGGTGTTCTGCACCAGTGAACTCACCCCTTGAATCCTGAAAAGAAAGTATCTTTTAGTCTGTACCTGCCTGGCAAGCAATTCTGAAAGGCATACTACTGGACACCCAGACAGACTACGCCTTAAGAGCTCATTTAGTGGGAGGCAGTGTGAGAACAGATAATTTCCCTGTGCTATAGAGCAATCCCTGGGTACTACGGGAACACAAATGGTCCCTGAATTGGTGGGGTGGGGGACGGCAGAGGGGACTATAACATGTGTGTCTAAGAAAGCTGGCCTGCTCCTAAGGGTGGGTAGTAAAAGCTGCTGAAGCAAGGAATGTGTTCAGATTTCTCTCTGATCATTACAAAGGCAGCCTGAGACTGACATCAGCGCAGGGAAATTCAGTGAGAAAGCTAGCACAATAGGAAAGAGATTAAGGGCAGTGTTAGGAAAGAGGGCAGAAATCACCAATATTTAGAACTCTGAGCTTTCCTACCAAGATACACACAGCTGTGTGAGAGTATGGACAACTACAGAAAGTCCCTTTCAATGTGGACATTTCTACTAGCACTGAATATGCCCCTCATCCTAGAAAAATGCTTCAAACCCTTTACCTCCGGATACATGCCTGGGAAGTGGCCTGTCAACCCTGATGAACTCCTTAATGTCTTTTATTTACATCTTTATTTAGAGACAGGGCCCCATGCTAGGTAGCTCTGGCTGGCCTCAAATTCAAAGTATCTCTGGTGCCTCATTGCTGGGATTAAGGCATGCCTCAAACCTGCCCTCCTTGCATCAGACTAAAGTTTCTGCTACAGAAAGGGTATCCTTAAACACTCTACCTCCACCCTGAGTGTTTGCATTATGAACATTATTTCATTAGCTGTGTTCAACTCTGAATCCCTAGCACAATGTGCTGCAGTGGATTAGCCTTACGTTCTCCTTATCTCTCTAGAAACTAGAAACAGGTCTCAGGTTGAATCAAGAGTTCACCCGCTCAGGAATTCTGTAGTTATCAGCACTCTACCTTTCCATGCGGATAACAAAGGCCAAGGAATGCTTATCCGGGACTTCCAAAGCATGGGGCTTCACCTCCAGTCGTCGGACTCGCACTATGTCACGCTGCCGCCGCCAAGAATCATGTATAAATGATTCCAGTCGCTTAAACCTGAACTCCTTCACTTTCCTCTGTGGTAGAGAAGACAAGACTAGCATCACCACTTTCTACTCCCTCGCTTCACTTTCCACAATTAATTCTCGAGCCACTAATCCTCCTATGTTCTAAAAGGAGGGCTTGGAAACACTTTTACACAAGGGAAAAAAAAACCAAACAAAAACCCAGTAAAAGTGGACTTGAGAAAATTTGTAACAGTCAGGCCTGGTAGCACAGCACCCGGGAGGCAGACAAGTGGATCTCTGTGAGCTCAAGGAAAGCCTGGTCTACATAGTGAGTTCCAGGTCAGCTGGGGCTAGAGGGAGACCCTGTCTCAAAAAGATCAAAAATAAATAAATAAGTAAATAAATAAATAAAATTCCTATTAAATGAAGACACGGACTACGGAGTCATGCGAGTCACAGGGGAGGGGCTTGCTGGTGCCAAATCTAGTTAAACATGCTAAATCAGTCACCCAGTACAAATCCCAAAGCCTCCCTCAGCACTACCTCTCTCTTTGCCAAAAGTGCCTGCTTTGCCTGGATGGCTTTGAGGGCTTGATAAGCCTTTCTTTTTTTCAGGAGATTTTCTGGTACCAAAGGGATCCTTTTTCTTTCCCTGATAAAGAAAATTGACATTACCAAAAAGAACAATTAGGAAACAAATATTCAATGGATTTCCAAACCAATTCAATATCCTGGACTTCTGAGCAGAGCTTTTACTGCTTTTCATAGAGAATAGCAGTGACTTGGAAAACCTATTTGGGTTGGGGCGATTACACCCCGGTGGCAGCGTGAATAAAGTTAAGCTGAATGGAGAGGTTCAATGGGAAGGGGAACAGGCAGGAAAATGGGAGAGAATAAGATCTAGTACATTGTATATACATATATAATTGTGAAATAAAAATGTGAAAGTCAAAAAAACAAAACAGGCCTGAAGAGATGGCTCAGCGGTTAAGAGCACTGACTGTTCTTGCAGAGGACCGGGGTTCAAGTCCCAGCACCCACATGGGCAACTACGAACTTAACTCCAGTTCCAGGGGAATCTGAAGCCCTCTTCTGACTTCTGCGGCACTGCACGACACGGGTGCACTCACATACATGCAGGCAATACACTCATACACATAAAGTAAAAATTTTTTAAAATTGGCTAGGCGTGGTGGCGCAAGCCTTTAAGCCCAGCATTCGGGAGGCGGATCTCTGTGAGTTCAAGGCCAGCCTGTGAGTTCCAGGACAGCTGGGGCTACTGGGAGACCCTGTCTCAAAAAGACCAAAAACAAAAACAAAACAAAAAAAAAATGAAAGATAAGCAGGGTGAGCCAATTTCTGGCACTCTCCAGCCACTCTCCCTTCCGAACCTCAGTTTACTTGCTGCCTCAAAGTCGATCCAGGTGGCCGACATACGGTCATGGCCCTGCGCTCGGCTAGGCCCAGCCCTCTCGGCTCGACCAGCTCGGCTCCGCTCGGCTGAGCCCGGCCCACCTGCCCCGGCCCCACATCATCTAAATCCTCACGTCTACTGTGTAATATGGAGCCTTTCCTTTTATCTACAGTCCGCAAATATCCCGTTTTTTTCCCATTACTACAATATAAACACCAAGGATGGCATCGGATTCCCAACACACGACTCCACAAGTTCAGAGGCCCAAACACTCACGGTTCCTCTGCCATCTTTCCGGTGCTACGAACACTGCGCATGCCCAAGCGCAGCAGTAGCGAAGGGGGACTACTCTATGGCTCTTTGATCATAGAGACGTCTGCTCTAGCTCACGCTGGAGGACTCGGGCAGCCAGCGTCCCCCTTGGCAGCAGAGAACCTCTGATTCCTGAATTGTAAACAGCTTCCTTCGCGTCCTCTCCAAGCTTTCTGGAGCCTAGGGCGTTCATGATAAAACTACTCTTTCCAGTTAGAGTCACCCGAAGCTCCCCCCTTGGCAGCAGAGAACCTCTGATTCCTGAATTGTAAACAGCTTCCTTAGCGTCCTCTCCAAGCTTTCTGGAGCCTAGGGCGTTCATGATAAAACTACTCTTTCCAGTTAGAGTCACCCGAAGCTAGCCCGCTTAGCTTCCCACAATGCACCTGCCGCTTCCGCTGCGGTCCTGTGTTGGCTTAGCTATGTCAGACAGGCATCCTTAGTGGGATGCTGTTTTTGCTCCACGGAGCCTGGAAAGTCAGCCTCAACTCTCACAGTGGGTGGAGGTTGTTTGTGGAGAACTTAGCGAAATACAATAGTGTCTCCGAGTCTGTCTGTGGGTCCTCGAGCAAGCGTCTTAACCTTTCTGTACCTCGGTTTCCGCTTCGGTGAGATGGGTTTATTATGGACCCTCCCAGGCTATAGGAAAGCTTATCAACCATTTAGCATAGTGTTTGACAGTATAGACCGTCAACACCAATGTCATTACTGCCGAGCCCGAAACTAGAAATCCTGCATTGACATCTCAAAACCTTTCCGTCTGGAATGTTCTAGCATTGCTAGTGTCTAGCACCATGAATTCATTTATCCTCGAAGGCAACACCACAGACTTTATTCTATGCATTTGGCTTACTGTTTCCTTAACTTGAAAGTGCTCTTTGAGGTCAGGGGAGTTGTTTCCTATTTCCTCTCTGACTTCTACACCACCAGTTAAATTCTGAAGATGCAAGGGATTAAGTATCTGAGGGTTGATCTGAAGAATCAAGGCATCATTTTGGTACACACGCCTAGGACTGAGTCAATTATTGCCTGGTGACTAAATGTCAAACTTGTCACAGATAGTAGCTTGAGGATCATTCTCACTTTGAGTACCTAACTATGTGTCTTTGTAAAGAGATTAAACAGAAGATTTGGGGCTGGAGAGATGGCTCAGCGGTTAAGAGCAAAGGCCACTTTTGCAGAGGACCTGGGTTCAGTTCCCAGCACCTACATGGTGCCTAACAACCATCTGTAACTCCAGTTCCAGGGAATCTGATGCCCCTTCTGGCCTCTGTCGGTATTGCATGACACAGGTGCACTTAACATACATGCAGGCAATACACTCATACATACCCATTGAAAAAAAAATTCCTGGGGGGCTGGAGAGATGGCTCAGCGGTTTTGAACACTGGTTGTTCTTGCAGAAGACCCGGGTTTGAATCCCAGCAGACGAATTTAAAAAAAAAATAATAATAAATTTAAAAGATTCTTCTTCCCCTTAATATCATTATGAAATAATCTACCTTTTACCCATATAAAGCTACATAATGTTTGTTTTTGACTACTATTTACTGGAGGTCTTGCAGTTTGATAAACTTTCTGGGTTTTTTTTTTTTGTCTTTTTGAGACAGGGTCTCCTTGTAGTCCCAGCTGACCTGAACTCACTATGTAGACCAGGCTGGCCTTGAACTCACAGAGATCTGCCTGCCTCTGCCTCCCGAGTGCTGGGACTAAGGCGTGCGCCACCACGCCCGGCTACTGGGTATTGTTTTTTATTTTATTTATTTTTATTTTGTGTGTATGTGTGTATTGCCTGCATGTAGGTAAATGCACCCGTGTCGTGCAATGCGTGGGGAGGACAGAAGAAGAGGTTGTCTGATCCCCTGGAACTGGAATTACAGACAGTTGTTAACTTCCATGTGGGTGCTGGGATTCAAACCCGGGTCTTCTGCAAGTACAGTCAGTGTTCTTAACCGCTGAGCCATCTCTCCAGCACCGGAAGAAGAATTTTAATATTATCAACTCCCAGCTAGCTGAGACTTGAAGTTCACATTTATGATTTATGATGCCAGTAGGTGGTGCTATGAGAATCTGTTTTCTCAGTGCAAAGTTGCATTTCCACCAGACCCAGAAAAAAGAAGGGGGAGTTCTTTTCAGCAAAATATTTAATTTTTTTTTTTTTTGTCTTTTTGAGACAGGGTCTCCCTGTAGCCCCAGCTGTCCTGGAACTCACTATGTAGACCAGGCTGGCCTTGAACTCACAAAGATCCGCCTGCCTCTGCCTCCCAAGTGCTGGAATTAAAGGCGTGCGCCACCACACCCAGCAAAATATTAAATTTAAAATATAAAAAACATTGTTCACTAACTAGATTTGTGTTTCCTGAGCACTGACAATGTATCCTGGTACTGAGGAAGACACAGGATTTTAATTTCTTCCACAATGATACTTCATGAAACGTGTTATGGCTGTTTACAGTGTTCCACAATGGTAATACTTCATGAAATGTGTTATGGCTGTTTATAGTCTTATGAATGTTAGTCTTTTTAAGCCTGTCTTCAAAGGTTTTTCTCTTGGCCACTTCAATTGGCCATCATTAAGGACATGGTTGAATTACGGAAGACTGCAACTGTATGCAGCCACATAGGTCAAGTCCTGAAATCTCAACAATGGATGTTTTCATTTTCCTGTCTGTAAAAGCCATTCCCATTACCTAACATTATCCATTCCTCTTGTGAACTGATTTCTCCATCAAAGGGAGCTGCATCTTCATTGTCTTCTCTGGTCAATCCTCCTTGCAGTCAACCTCACTTTGAGGATTTCCTGACTGTCTGCAATGAGCAACAAGGGGCTGCTGGGCACCAGGTAGGGAAGAGAGTACCAGATGGACCTGGAGTTGGGGAAACATATCAGCAACAGCTTTCAGTTCTGGTGAAAACAGGTATAAGGGAACACAAGTGTGAAGGGCAGAACGTGTGAGGGGCAACAGTGTTTGTGGAGTGGAGGATAGACATAGGAGAGCTGGGCGGGAAGCAGTGTGTGGCAGGTAAAACAAAAATAGAGAAGCCCAAGCCTTTTCTGAGCTATTTCACATTAATGGAACATCCGCTGTTTATTACATTCTGGGCTTCTTCAGTGATAGTCCAAGTACAGGGCCAGAACAAGTCTTCCTACTTAATGGGAAAGAAACTGGGGTGGAGAGTAACTTGGATGTCTGATTCCATGGTGGGTGAGGCACTGAAACCTGGTTGGTTCTGTGTCTAAGGCACGTCCTACCTACCCATTTCCTCTGCTTTCCTTGACCTACATAGAAGTGTTTTCTCTAAATGATTTATTTCAAGGGTTTTCAAAAGACACTTCAGAGGCTGGAGAGGTGGTCAGGGGTTAAGAGCACTTGCTGTTCTTCCAAAAGACCCAGGTCCAGCTCCTAGCATCCACATGGTGGCTCTGTCACCCTCTTCCAGCCTTCATGGGCACTACACACACACCAGCAATTGAAATGCTTGTACAAATAAATAAATCATTAATAAAGACACTTCAGAGGAAGTAGCAAGAGGAAAACAGATTAGGGTTTCCTTTCTTTAAAGATTTATTTTTTCTGGTGCTGAAGAGATGGCTCAGTGGTTGAGAACACTGACTGCTCTTGCAGAGTATCCAGATTTGATTCCCAGCATTCACATGGTGGCTATGAACCATCCTTAACTCCAGTTCCATGAGAATCCGACACCCTCTCCTGACCTCCACAGCACTGAACGACATGGGTCCACTCACATATATGCAGGCAATACACTCATAAAATAAAATTAAAATTGAAAAAAGATTTTTTTCTTTTATTTTTTGATTAAAAATTTCTTATTTTTGCCAGGCGTGGTGGCTCATACCTTTAATCCCAGCACTTGGGAGGCAGATGTAGGCAGATCTTTGTGAGTTCGAGGCCAGCCTGGTCTACATAGTGAGTTCCAGGACAGCTGGGGCTAAAAGGAGACCCTGTCTCAAAAAAAAAAATTCTTATTTTTACTTTATATGCATAAGTGTTTTGTCTGCATGCATGTAAGTGCACTCTGTGTGTACAGTGTCCAAGGAGGCCAGAAGAGGGCATCAGATCACCTGGAACTGGAGTTACAGGTGGTTGTTAGCTACCATGTGGGTGCTGGGAACCAAACATAGTACTCTGGGAGATCACTAAGTGTTCTTAATTCCTCAGCCATCTCTCCAACCCCTATATTTTGGATTTTGTTTTTTGAGACAGAGCTCACTATGTAGCTCTGGCTGGCCTGGAACTTGCTATGTAGGCCATTCTGGCCTCAAAATCTGGTCTCTGCTGGAATTAAAGGTGTGTGCCACCATGCCTGACCTTAAAGATTTATTGATATTTTTAATTATTGGTATATTTGTGTATGAGTATGTGCACATGTGAGTGCAGACACCCTTGGAGGCCAGCAGAGGATGTTGGAGTTACAGGAGGTTGTGAGCTGCTCTGAGTGCTGGGACCTGAACTTGGGTCCTCTGAAAGCACAATACATGCTTGCACAATCAATACATGCTCTTAACCCTGAGCCCTCTCAAGCCTGTGATTAGGGTTTCTTATAATGTACTTTTTGTTTGTTTTTGAGACAGGGTCTCTCTGTAGCTCCAGCTGTCCTGAACTTGCTATATAGAACAGGCTGGCCTTGAACCCACAGAGATCCGCCTGCCTCTGCCTCGTGAATGCTGGATTAAAGGTGTGCACTAGCATGCCCGGTGATTAGGGTTTCTTATAAAGTACTTTCATCTGTAGCAGCAATGTTGACAGTCCAGCTATGCTACAGAACTTTGTGTGTGTTTGTGTGTGTGTGTGTGTGTGTGTGTGTGTGTATGTGTGTGTGTGTGTGTGTGTGTCTGAGGATAGAACCCAGGGTCTCACACATGCTAGGTAATCTGTCAGTGACCTGCAACCCCCAGACTCTAGAATCGATTTTTTTTTTCTGTCTTTTTGAGACAGGATCTCCCTGTAGCCCCAGCTGTCCTGGAACTCACTACGTAGATCAGGCTGGCCTTGAACTCACAGAGATCCGCCTGCCTCTGCCTCCCGAGTGCTGGGATTAAAGGCATGCACCACCACGCCCAGCTAGAATCGATTTTGTATCAGAAAAATACTCCAGCCATTTGTAGGTATACTGAACCAGATCACTCCAATTCACACTGTAATTACAAAATCCCTTTATCTTCATTCCTGCAAAAAGTATCATGTTTATTTTCTTCTTCAAACATAATTCAGGAAACCATATGAAGCAGGAAATGAAATAAAGATGGTAACTCTCTACCAAGTAGAAGTCCAAAAGAATTCTAGCATCCTATTCTCTTCTCTTCTGGACTCCAGTCAGTTCCCAGATATAACAAATTAATGTCTCTAATTTCACTGTAGCCCGTGGGTTCTGTGAGGGGTGAAATCATGCTTGAATTAGCTATGTATCCCACTGCCTTGTATAGTGCCTGTTGCAGTGAACTGCTCACGAAATGGTTACTGGTTAGCTCTCTCCTCTTCAGCTGAGTACCCAGGGGACCTTACCTCTCTCTTGAAGAGAACATGAGGCTGAGGCACAGCCAACAGAAGCCCTGGTCCCTAGAGGACAGCACAGCTGAAGCCCTGCTTGAGCAATGCTGTACCAGTATCCCCAGTTGCAGAGGAGGTTTCAACCATTTTCCTTATTGTTTTCCCCAGGAGTAACTTACTGGCTGATGTCTCTGCATCAGGGAATGTCAGGACCCCCTTTTCTGAAATTTGATCCATCACAGGCCAGGGATCAGTGTCATAACAGAAGCCTGGACTTGCCTCTGGGCAAAGGAACATAGAGACTCTGATTCTGAGCAGTCAGATGAGTCTTTTCTTGTAAAGATTTATCATTATTATTATTATTATTATTATTATTATTATTATTATTTTGCTGTTGTTTTTGAGACAGGGTCTCCCTGTAGGCCCAGCTAGCCTGAAACTTGCTATGTAGACCAGACTGGCCTCAAACTCAGAGAGATCCGCCTGCCTCTGTCTCCCAAGTGCTGGGATTAAAGGTGTGTGCCACCATGCCTGGCTTATCATTATTTTAAAGATTTATTTTTATTTGTGGAGAGAGAGAGAGAGAATGAGAGTGCAGTGCCTCAGAGATGGGAGTTACAGTTGGTTGTGAGCTGCCCACGTTGGACACTGGGCACCCAACTCTGGTCCCCTGGAAGCCTTGTTAACTGCTGAGTCATCTTTCCAGCCCTGAGTCTTCCCTTCCTGGAACAATGTCTATTGCAAGGGGCCTGAACAGAGGCCAGAATGTGATGCTGGATGCATTCCCCCTTAGCATGAAGAGGAGTGCCACTTCACAACAGTGTAAATGATATCAGAGGACCCATCCAGTAATGTAACGTTTGAATTTCTGCCAGGACTCTTTGAGAACTTCCTATTTATGGGCTGATTTTTTTTTGTTGTTGTTGATCAAGTCCCCTGTAGCCCAGGATGGTCTGGAGCTAGCTGTGTAGCTGAGAGTGACCTTGAACTCCTGATCTTCCTGCCTCCATCTTTGGAGTGTAGGGATTACAGGCATGGTATGCCATCATTCCCTGTTTTGTGTGGTGGGGATCAAACCTAGGACTGTGTGTGCTGGGCAACTGGGCTATATTTCTAACTCCATAATGCCAATCTTATTTCCTAGTATTATAGGGGCACAGGGAAGCAACTAGTCCATGTAGGAGTGCAAATTAAATTCTAGACCCCAAAGAAAAATCGGTAGGTTTCGGCATGTTTGTGAGGGCAAGAATTCAAAAGGGTCTCCTGGGGCTGACACTACAGAGAGGGTCACAGAATTTTTCCTCCATACAATTTGGTTAATTTGGGAACATAAAGAGAAACATGTTCATTCTAGAAGTGTTAAACTTTTCTTTCATTTGTTCTTAACTTTTTCTGACTGAAGAGAACTTCCTGCAGCAGTCTTAACATCATCCAAAATGACCCCCATTGTCTCTTCCTTATCCAAGGACCCATGGGATGAGCAGAGAGGGAGGCCCAAAGTGGACTTGACCAAATTTCACTCACTAACTTCATTTAATTTGTCACTTTAAAAAAGCTGATCAGTTAAGACCCTGTCCCCTCCTTGGTAGGTAGGCAAGGCTATTTTTGGGTTGGGTTAAATCTATCTAAACAGAACTCCCACTGAATACTTACCCTTTTCTTCTGGGGATTGTAGCCATTCCTGTTTGCAAAATCAAGACAATCACAGTGGCACATTTTCCCAAATCTTTGGCTGTATTGCAATGGTTGTTTCATTTTGTAATCTCCAACTAAACATTTCCTAACCATGGATTAACAATATAGGTACTGACTGCTTTCTTTTAACAGTATTTATCCAACATAACAAAATAAACTGCAATTTGTTATACTTTTTTTTACAAAACATTTTATAAATATTTTTACAAAATGTATACAAAGCAATTTCAAGTGAGGCATACTATACAAATGAAGGTATTTAAGCAAATAAAGCCCACACCACACTGACAGCGAGTGACGCGTCCTCTTTAAGTCAAGTCAGTCTGTAAGGCCTCCCTAATCTAACAGAGTCTACTAAATTCTTCAGAGCTAAAATATTTCTTTTTTCGTAATTGCCAGTTTAAAATTTGCTTTATCTTTAGGCAGTACTTAGGACACAGAAAATCAAATTCATAATAACAAATTCACACTTTTCCACAACAACAAACGGATTTTAAAAAAAAGAGAAAATGATTTTTGTTTACTGAGTACAAGTAGCTCTAAAACTTAACTGGCTAATGAACCTGAACAAGCAAATAGTGACCACCAAGGCTGAGCTGTCTTACCCTTTGCCACAGGGAGCTCGATATGTGAGTTATGACCCATGTGCGTGTAACCTAATCACAGAAGTAAAATAACATTTTGTAATCTTCGTTTTTCATTATCTAAAGTCTTTCCTCCATAAAAAGTAAACTTACATACCAGGACATAAAAATTTACATGTTTCATTTTGGTTAAGTTAGGCTCTCTATTTGTAGAACCAATGTTAGGGGCTTACAACCCCCTGGGAGATGGCACAGAAAAGCTAGGATTGGGGTAGCGGGACAGGAGGGGGCGGGAGGTGACAAATGTACACCAGACTTTTCACGTCTCTTAAGAATTTCACTGATTTGCAACATAAATATAATATAACTCATTAGCAGCCGCTTGTAGGCTTCTGGGGGCCATCTTGAATTAGGGGAGTGTGAGCCTATGAAAAGAGCTTGTGAAATTAAAGGGATCAGGGTAGACCGTTAACCCAGGGTGGCCCGAACAGAAAGTTCCAACTGGTAATACCAACTCATCTTGCTAATGCGTTATAATATAGGAAGGAGAGGAAGTTTGCAACTTGAACATTGGCACAGATAAGGAAAAAATGGCAACCCTAAGATGGTCCAGATTTTCCTATTTCAACTGGCTGGGTTGTAGGTAGGAGAAGGTACATTGCTCTTTTGAAGACTGGCTGTCTCACAAGATTTCTTTGTGCAGTAGGACTGAGAGGGTGGGGGTACAGGTCTTCTGTTGATGAACTGTTTTTGAGACAGGTTTGCACTATGTAGCCCAAGCTGGCCTTGAACTCATGACCCTCCTGCCTCAGCCACCCAAGTGCTGGGATTACAGGTGTGCTTCACCATGCCTATTGTCTCTGTGTGTATGTTTTTTTTTTTGTTTTTTTGTTTTTTTTTTTTTACATCAGAAGCCTTCCTTTCCATTGCAGGCCAATCTGGAAAAGGAATGCTCGACATGATGACGGAGGGGGGCAACCTCATTCTGGGGATATGTTGAAGTGAAACCAGTGGATGCCTCTCTACAGCCAGGGAGATGAGCAAGGTAACTGAGTGACTACATGCTCACAGTAAGCAAAAGGACCTCTGAATGCCACTGGCTCTCACAGATGTGCAGGCGTGGTGGGAGGAGGGTATGCAAACACATAAGACCACTATGTGACTTTCCCAACAATGGCTGCTGTGACACTGAGCATCAAAGAAGTGACAGAAATGTCACAACCTGGGACAGGTCCACAGGAAAGGAAAATGGGGAATACTCCCTGAAAAGAAACATAAATAAATAAAGCAGTAAGCCATGCTCACTAACATGAAGAGAACCAGACACAAACTGGGCTGGGCCTCTTAGTGGGACTCTGGGGTCTCAGGTCTTTCCTTCAATGATGGGCTGGCTGGTTACCTTTGGTTTATCTGTGGTTTGGTAATGGCCGCTGCCAGGGGTGACTACTGTTCTCAGACAACAAGAAGAAACATAAACAAGGCCAAAGTCCCCTTATAGAGTTTAAACTGAAAAATTTCAACATAGTTTTCAAGTGAAAGTGCTTCTCGATGCTTGGCTATTTGTTGAGGGTGAGGAGACAAAGAGAGGTGAAACAAAACAGAACCCAGCAACAACCAAATACACACACTGTTTGTTGACTCTACCCAATTATAAAATGCAAAACTCTTTTTTTTTTCCTCAATAGTAAACATATATATGCTTTTACATATATACATATTGTAATCCTTGTGGCTCCATCTGGCCTCCCCAGTACACTGTACCTTTTAAATAGTTTCCATTTCTCTTTGTTTAGCTTAGTGAAGTTATTTCAAGTTACCCTGCTGCAAGTAGGAACTTTCTCTAGATGGAATCACCACATGGAGGTGCTGGAAAGCAGGAGGTTTTGCTTCAGCAGAGTGTAGAAAAGTATTCTGATATTCAAGAGGGAAGGCCTACAGTGCCCTGCTAATGAGCTGCTTAGGTCAGGGCTGGGGGTTCCCAGGCAGAGCAGCTGGCTACCTGAGGCTCAGACAGAGCCAAGCAGGGAGGAGTCATGGTGATCTTCCCTTAACATATATTCCCTCCCCCCAAAATAAAAAAACAAAAACAACAACAACAAAAAACCCCATGAATTTGGAGCTGTTGTGAGATAGTCTTTTAAAAAGTAGCTTCTATCAGTCCTGTGTGAGTTTTCTTTAATAAGTCTATTCTTTTCAAATGACTTATGATTGTCAAAATTTTACCCAGGGCCAAGTGTACTGTGGGCTCATTGTGTGACAGTGTTTAAAATAATAATAAAAAACTCCCACAAAACAAACAAAACAAAACAAAAAAAATGACCATAAGCACTTTCATAACACTTGAAATGTGTAGGGCCTAGCAGACTGCTCTCTAGCAGGGAGTTTTACTAAAGTGTCTCCCTTTAACCGCCACCATGAGTATTGCTCTTAAACAAAGAACAGGATAGAGATCAGGAAGAATGACCTGCGATGAAGGACCGAGCCCGCTGGAGACAGGAGACCGGTCTCATTTGCTGTTGCCAGGAGAGAATGTAACTTGTCCAGGGTGGGATCTGGGGTGGGAAAGGACGTTTACTATTAACACTCTAGGATACTATTTACAGCTGCTTCTAAAATGGAGTCCGTTTCTACAACACCTTCACTGTGGTCCGGGATGAACTTTTCCAGGCAGTTTTCCTGGGAAGCCATTGGAGAGAAGTTGGGGAAGTCTAACTCCATGCCGCTCGCCGCCGGGTCGTTCTGCGGCTGCCGCCCGGCCTTTTTGAGTTCCAAGATGTTCTTAAAGGTCGTCTCCAGACTCTTAGTGAGCTGGAGATCCGGCTGGGGCTCGCCCGACCCTTTCATGATGTCTGTGTGTAAAACTTCATTCTTTGGAGAGCTCCTCGGAGCCTTGTCCTGGAAAGATTCGCTGCCCGGCATCTCCAGGTGCGAGTTGCCCAGGACTCCAGGGAGCTTGCCGTCGCACCCGTGGTCCGGCCTGCATGAGGCCTTGCGGTGGCCCTCGGGGCCCGGGGAGCACCCGCTGGCCTTCGGGGGGTCCCTCCGGCCGCCCTTGTCCTCGGGTGCGCCCCGGTACTGGACCGAGCCACCTTTGTCAAGCTTCAGTGTTCTACCGTGGCCTTCCGTTTTCTTGGAAACGTTTCCCTCTGCAGAGACCACGATGTGATTAGGCACTAGATGAAACTGGTCATGATTCGTTGGCTCTGCCATGCCCGGCTTGGCTGGGTCTCTGCTTTGGGCCTTGGGTGCATGATGGAGCGAGCTGCTGGCTTTGCTGCCCGGCCGGTCACTCCTGTCCAGCGGTGTCTCGGGCGCAGCTTCCTCAAGTTTGAAGGAACAACAGAAATCGGCCTGAAAACCCTCTGGAAGTGAGACCAGAAAGCGCTTCAGTGGACCAGCGTGGACCAGGAGAGACCCTCGGTGGACTGCAAGGCAGACCCTGCTGACCACGCCCCTTTCTGGCCCCTCCCCTTTCTGCTTAGCCCCGCCCAAGGTCAATCAATTCCACAGAGAATACCTTACCAAGGCACATCTCAAAGAACCAAGGCTCTGGAGACAGCTTCCACATGGGAAGCTTAATGCAGGGTTTGGTGCATGCGAGACAAGCACTCCACCACATCAGCTATATCCTCAACCCTTCTTTTCTCTCTCTTTCTCTCTCTCTCTCTCTCTCTCTCTCTCTCTCTCTCTCTCTCTCTGTCTTTTTGAGACAGTAACCCCAGCTAGCCTGGAACTCACTATGTAGACCAAGCTGGCCTTGAACTCACAAAGATCCACCTGCCTCTGCCTCCCAAGTGCTGGGATTAGAGGCGTGTGCCACCACGCCCAGCGTCTTCCTTTTTCTTTTACAAATGAACTGCTTTGGAAATAGAGGTGCTGGTATCAACCCACTTTCCTCAGAGCAGAGCGGCCTAGGATGGGGCTTTGTGGCAAAGTGAACAGACACACCTACTTGTCTCTGGGGTCATGGCACTCAGAGACAGGTGTGAGGGAGCCATCGTAAAACGAATGGCCGGAACACAAGCAGATGCTGCTTTGAAGGACAGCCGGGTGTGGAGGGGAACCCTGTCTGAGAGTGAGTGCTGAGCCCCACCAGGCTCTGGGAGCCAGCAAGAGAGAAGTGTCTGTGAGAATGTAGAGACTACAGCTGCTGTCAGGCATGGCCCAAGAAGGGCTAACTCTGCAAGTAATGAAGCACTAATTGAGCCTACAACCCAAAGTGATGCCCAGAGCAAACATGGATCTGTTCACCAAATCTCAAAATGGGAGCAAAAGGGGATAGAGGGTAAAACCTGAAAAGAAGGTTCCAACAGGCACTGCCAGAGCAGGTGCTGCAGAGGAGAATGGGGTGCAGGCTCCACTCCTGGGGTGCTGAGGGCTGAATATCACAAGCAAGTTCTCCAAAGGGCAGATTTCAGCTTCTCAGAAAAAGGGACAGAAATAGAGCTTCTGCTGTTTTCCCCTCTGCAAAGCTGTGAGGCTCTCCCTATGTACAGAGCATTTCTTTCAGATTCGTCCATCAGACTGTTAGGCAGTACATTGTGTTTGTAAATTTCCGGAGCCACAGGGCACCCAAGGCAGAACTTTAATATTTCGGTATCAGAAAAGATATTGGGATAGCTAGGCCTGGTGGCTTAGGGCTGTAATTCCAGAACTTGGGAGGCTGAGGCAGGTGGACTGTCATGAGTTCAAAGCCAGCCTGAACTACATAGTGAGTCCCAGCACAGCTTGGGCTGCAGAGTGAGACCTGGTCTCAAAAACCAAAAATGAGCCAAGCGTGGTGGTGCACGCCTTTAATTCCAGCACTCAAGGCAGGCAGGTGGATCTCTGTGAATTCAAGGCCAGCCTGGCCTACATAGTGAGTTCCAGGCCATTTGCAGCTATAGGGTGACCCAGTCTCAAAAAGACCAACAAACAAACAAACAACAACAAAAAAACCCTAAAAATGAACAGAAAGGGAAAAAAAAGACAAGATGTTGTGGAAAATCTTGTGACTGATTTTGCCTTTTGCCTTACATACTTATCATGCTGGAATGCTATTACTTCTAATGGGGCATCTGGCCCGCTAGAGTGTAATAGGATACTAGTCTGCCATGCTAATAAGGGATCCCATATGCTGTGTTGTGATTGGACTATTACCCTTATATAAGCCCATACTTTCTTGCAACAAAGCAGATCTGTGTCACTGAACCTGGTCTCCTGTGCCTGAATGTGGCGATGCTGGCGCAGACTCCTCACCAGCCCTGGGGTCCATACCAGATGACTGATCAGAGGAACTAAAAGAGCAGGAGAGTGGCCATAGCCGGAGAGCAGCCACAGCCAGCGACCACAACAAGATGTTGGGGAAATGAGAATAAAGTCATAGAAAAACAACAGTCCAACAGTAAGGGCTGACTCAGCTAAATTATCAGCTAATATATTCAGATATTATTCTGAAGGTCATAGAAATATAAATATTTCTGGGGCTAGAGAGATGGCTCAACAGTTAGGAGCACATACTGCTCTTGCAGAGGACCCAATTCAGTTCCCAGCACCCACACTGGGTGATTCACACCACCTGTAACCTCAGTTCGGGGGGATTCACTGCTTCTGACCTCCGAGGATACCTGTACTCATGTGCACATGCCCCTGCCTCCAATTAAAAATTTAGAAAATATGGGTGAGAATGAGCCGATCTTTTTAGTGATGGACTCTACATAGACTGACCAGATCCCAGTGGATGAACTTGCACTGAGAGCCATCTGGGGACACTAACACTAACACTGGGGACACTTTACATGGTAGGCCTTAACACAAATGACAAGAAGGTATGAACTCCAGTGAGGGAGGCCATGGGAGGATGCCAAAGGGTCAGGGGGTATAAAGATGATTTTCTGTATGAAATACACAAAAATTCAGTAAAACATTTTTTAAAAATTTAGAAAATAGAAAAGGGCATATTTTGGGACAAACTTAAAATGAATGCAGTTGGTAGGAAATTGATGGATGAGAGAAAAAGCTTCCACAGAGCATTACAACTTCCTGGCCTATGGTTAGGGACAACGCTTTACTGCAGTTTTCCTCCTGACTGTGGTTTGCAAATAGCAAGAGCTTTAATAATGTGATGAGAAACCTTTGGGCTTAATTTAGTTCTCAAAGCCTAGAAAAGACAGGATTTGAAGTTTACAATGGGGAAAAACAATCACTTAACTAAAATTCTAGTTTGGATTTTATAGACTAGAGACATTCTGGTTGTGTTCATAATCAACTGCGGTTTGTTTGTTTTTGCCTCATACAATTCATACTGCACCTCTTGGAGCCACCAAGGGTCAGTTCACACTGGCTCCCTAGAGGCTCCACACATGGAACTGTGGCAGCAGCTTTCCCCTGCTTGCACGCTGATAGTTCTTACCAGGGTCGACAAGTGCCAGACGCTTGTCCCGAGACAGGGAAGCTCTTTCCTCCTGGTTGAACATTCTGTCAATCATCACCATCTCAGCAGAGGGGTTGATTCTCTGAAAAGGAGAGAAGCCAGTCACTTCACAGGCCTTTGATTTAGTGAAATAATCAGAAGTGAGAATTCAGTGTCTAGATTCTGGTCCTGTCCTATCTAGTCACATGTGTCCTGCTCACATTGGATGCTTTTTTAAAAATGTGTGGTTAAGACAGGGTCTCATGGAGCCCAGGCTGGCCTCAAACTTGTGGCAATCCTCCCGCCTCAGAACCCCAATTGCTGAGATTATAGACATGAGCCACCACACCTGGCTGGAAGCAGCCCCTTCTCAAAAGACAGAGCCGTTATTTTTTGATGTCTTAGAGTTTTAATTCAGAAATGGTTATCAATATGGAAAAATGATCACAGACATTGATAGCACAACCTTAAGTAGATATATAAAAGAACATATATATTTGTTAGTAAATATATATATACATACAAATTCATACTATGTTGTATATTTAAAAATTTTAAAGAATTTTATTAAAATTGTGTGTATGTGTGTGTGTGTGTGTGTGTGTCTCTGAGGCCAGCAGCAGAGGTGTCAGATCCCCCTGGAGCTGAAGTTACAGGCCTGACATAGGTGCTGTGAACTGAACTTGGGTCCTCTGCAAGAACAGTACACACTCTTAACTGTTGAGCCATCTCTTTAGGCCCCAAGGTTCCTTTTTGAAGTTGATCTTATATAAAAAATACCTCTCAAGAGACTAATTTTCAGATTAAAGCCTGTATGATTTTATAATTATTTTGAAAAAAATCTCAAAATAGTTTTGGTTTTCTCATTATTTCCTGATTAAATGGTGCTTCAAAATGAATTTTCTGTTTTTGTCTTTTTTTTTTTTTTTGGTCATTTTGAGACAGGATCTCCCTGTAGCTCCAGCTGGCCTAGAACTCATTATGTAGACCAGGCTGGCCTTGATCTCACAGAGATCTGCCTGCCTCTGCCTTCTGAGAGCTAAGATTCAAGGTGTGTGCCACCATGCCCAGCTTGAAACTAACTTTTAAGAAAATTTTTAGGTGCTAGGTAGGGATCAAACCCAGGGCCTTGTCTATGCTAAGCAGGTACTCTACCACTGAGCCATATCCCTAACCCCAAAATAATTTTACTTTCTATTTGGGGTGATGAAATGGTATGGAGTTAGACAGTGGCAGCGGCTGTACAAACTCATATATAATATACATTCACTTTAAAATTAAATGTGAACTTTACGGTCTATTATCTCTCAAAAAACCCACCAGGACTGACAAGATGGTTCAGTGGGTAAAAGTGCTGCCACACAAACGGGATAACTTGAGCCCCATTCCTGGAACCCACTGCAGAAAGAGAGAACTGAGTTCCAAAAGTTGTCCTCTGACCACTACATACATGCAGGGTCATACATGCTGTGGCATTAACATGCATGCACACACTCCACACACACACACAACAGTAATAAATACTAATGACAAACAACCCTGAACTAATCCTCACACTGTCATTGGCTGGTCTTTTCCATCCAATATTATTCTGAACAATGACCTCTGCTAGTGCCTCCTGTCTTCCTCCACATCTCCTCGCACCGTCCTCCCACATCTCTGGACTGGTAAAGGCAGCAGGTGGCAGCAGAATGGACCATCTCAGATAGCTCTGCTCCTGACTCTGCCAGCTTATTAGCTGTATGCTCTTAGATCAGTTACTGAACTGAAGCCCAGGTTGGCTTGTTTGCTTTGTGTTACTCTGTTTTGAGACAATGTCTCAACACGTAGTTAAGCCTGGCCTTGAATGTGCTATGTACCAGGCTGGCCTCTAACTCCTGATGCTCTTCCTGCCTCAGCTGTCCCATACTGGGATGACAGGACGTGTTACCACACCCGATTTTATTTTTAAAAAGTGATTTGTGGGGCTGGAAAGATGGCTCAGCAGTTAAGACACTGACTGCTTTTGCAGAGGACCCGGTTAGATTCCCAGCACCAACATGGCAGCTATGAACTGTCCTTAACTCCAATTCCAGGGGAAACCAAAGCCCTCTTCTGACCTCTGCGACACTGCATGACACAGGTGCACTCACATACATGCAGACAATAAAATAAAAATAGTAAATAAAGGCCGGGTGTGGTGGTACACGCCTTTAATCCCAGTACTTGGGAGGCAGAGGCAGGTGGATCTCTGTGAGTTTGAGGCCAGCCTGGTCTCCATGGTGAATCCAGGACAGCTGGGGCTACAGGGAGACCCTGTCTCAAAAAGAACAACAACAACAAAAAAAACTTAAAAAGTGATGTGGGGGGGGTGCGGGGGGGCAGGTGTAGGTATGTGTGGGTGTGCAGATAGAGGCCAGAGGGCCAATCTTCCTCTATTATTCTCTACCTTATTTATTTTTAAATTTTATTTATTTGTATTTTATATGTATGAGTGTATTGCCTGCATGTGTATAAGTGCACCTGTGTCATGCAATGCCCACAGAGGCCAGAAGGTGGCATTGGATTCCTTGGAACTGGAGTTATGAACAGTTGGCTGCCATGTGGGTGCTGGGAATCGAACCCGAGTCTTCTGCAAGAGCAGTCAGTGCTCTTAACTGCTGAGCTATCTCTCCAGCCCACTATTTATTATTTTTATTTTTTAATTTTTTAAATTTTTTAATTTTTTTCGTCTTTTTGAGACCTGTAGCCCCAGCTGTCCTGGAACTCACTATGTAGACCAAGGCTGTTCTTGAACTCACAGAGATCCGCCTGCCTCTGCCTCCCGAGTGCTGGGATTAAGGGCGTGTGCCACAACGCCCGGCTATTTATTATTTTTAAAACAGGGTCTTTCACTGAAACTGGAGATCACTGATTGGCTATGCTGGTTGGTCAGCAAACCCTAGGGTTCTGCCCATTTCTGATCCCCCAGCAGTGGGATTACATGGGCATGCCACCATGCCTAACTTTTACATCGGTATTGGGGATCTGAATTTAGGGCCCCACTTTATACACTGAGCTATCTCTCTAGTCCTAAAGTATTTTAACTGATAAATATACAAAATTAGCACATATTAATGGGGATGTATTTCTTTTTCTTTTCGTCTTTTTAAAAAAATTTTATTATTTTTATTTTATGTGTATGAGTGTATTGGCTGCATTTACGTGAGTGCACCTGTGTCCTGCAATGTTGCAGAGGTCAGAAGAGGGCTTTGGATTCCCCTGGAACTGGAGTTAAGGATGGTGGTTTGTAGTCGCCATGTGGGTGCTGGGAATCGAACCCAGGTCCTCTGTAAGAGCAGTCAGTTCTTTTAACCACTGAGCCCTCTCTCCAGCCCCTCTTTTCGTCTTTTTGAGACAGGTCTCCCTGTAGCAGAAGCTGTCCTGGAACTCACTATGTAGACCAGGCTGGCCTTGAACTCACAGAGATCTGCCTGCCTCTGCCTCCCGAGTGCTGGGATTAGGATGTGCTATTTCAATTTCTTTAGGCATGTACTATTTCTTTTCTTTTCGTTTTTTTTTAAAGCTTTTCTGATGCTTTTCATTATTATGGAACATAACACCTGCAATGTGTACAAAGAAACGAGGGGTCAGGGAGGACATCAAGCTGGGAAAGGCTGATGTCCAGTTCATTTCTTTCTTCTTGTCCTTCTCATTCTAGGCCAGGATCATCATGAGTTTTCTGAAGAGTGTAACAAAATCTAAGAAGAGATCAACGCAGTGCCAGATATAATCCTTATCTCCATTTCAGCCTTTTCAATAATGAGTTGAGTATCAAAGAGGACAAAGCCACATATGACCGCCAACCCCATGTACAGGTTTTCCTGGAATAGCCAAATGGATCCAAAGAATAGGTTCCCCAGAGAAGACAAGAACATCAGGCTCATAGCTGACATCAAAATACCTCCCAGAAAGAGGTAGCTCCGGCACCTGTCATAGAGTGTGCTTAGGCTGAAGCAGGTGAAGATTATAGCTGTGCCCATGAAGGCGTTGGGGAGGATGCTGGGATTGATAGCAATGCACAACTCCAGAGCGGGGCCCAGGCCAACTCCTGTAAGGAAAGCAAATCCAGCGAGCAGTCCCAGTCTTTTCTGTTCTGTTTCATGGCTATGAGGTGTTGTCATCAGCCAAATCATCAAGCCCAAGGAGACCAAGGCAGAGAGCAAGGCAGTCCGAATGAAGTGCGTGACCACATGGACATAGGCCCCTGCAGCCACCACAAACATACAGAGTGCAAAACTGGCATAGACCTTCTTCAGGTGCTGCTGTGTCAAGGGGGTTATGTGGGAAAATTTTAAGAGGGCATCAAAGTTGATCTTCTGATCAAATATGTTCATGGTTCCAGAGTCTGCTCAGCACAGCCTCCACTAATAGGTGGGGACACAGCTCAGTGGTAAGAGTGCTTTCTTATCATGTACAAGGCCCTGCATTCATGCCCAGCACTTCCTAGCCTGCCTCTCAAGAGCCTCTCTGCTACCAACACTGGATGTGCTCTGAGCCTTTTTTTCATTTTAAAAAAATATTTTATTTATTTTTATGTGTATGCGTGTATTGTCTGTGTGTAGGTAAGTGCACCCATGTCATGCAGTGCCCATGGAGGACAGAAGAGACTGTCAGATCCCCTGGAACTGGAGTTACGGACAGTTCTTAGCTGCTATGTGGGTGCTGGGATTCGAACCCAGGTCTTCTGCAAGAACAACCAGTATTCTTAATGTCTGAGCCAGCTCTTCAGCCCCCAAAATATTTAATGTTTTATTATTTTTATTTTGTGTGTATAAGTGTATTGCCTACACGCATGTAAGTGCACCCATGTCATGCAATGCCTGAGGAAGTCAGAAGAGGGCATTGGATTCCCCTGGAACTGGAGTTACGAATGGTTGTTAGCCACCATGTGGGTACTGGGAATTGAACCCAGGTCCTCTGTAAGAGCAGCCAGTGCTCTTAACTGCTGAGCCATTTCTCCAGCCCAGTTCTAGCTTTTAAAAAAACATTAATTAATTAATTAATTAATTTATTTACTTACTTACTTATTTATTTGAGGGTATATGTGCCACAGTAAATGTATGGAGGTCAAAGGACAACTTGCAGGAGCTGATTCTTTCCTTCCACATGAGTTCTAGGGAGCAAACTCAAGTACAGTCTTGGCAGCAAGCACCTTTATCTACTCAACCATCTCACTGGCCACTCTAGCTTTTTGAGAAACGCATCCACACTACCATCTACAGTCATAGTACTATGCAAATAGCACACTGGGGCTCCTGACTCCTGTGTAACTTCCACTCGGTCCTCAGTCACCAACCTTACCTACCTTTCCCAAACATGAATCTCCCCAGCCTCTAGGGACCACAATTCTCTTCACTTCTCTGAGTCCAACATTTTTAGATTCGAATGAGACCGTGTGATATTGGTTCTTCCGTGTCTGGCTTATTTCATTTAAGGATTCCTTATTTGTGGAACAAAACAGTATTGACTGTGATCTACCAAGTAAAGGTAGCAAATATCATTTATAGTGACATTTGCTACTGTCATTTGTAGTGAAAGCTAAGTGTAAAGTTTCCTCCAGCCTTAAATATCTGCTTTATAAACTATGTTCTGAGAATGGAATTCCTTTCTCTCTCTGGCTCAGCAGCCGTGGCCAGCTGAGCTGTAAAAGCATCTGTGTTTGGGAACACAATTTTACCATGGCGTCTTCGAGGAGCAGGAATCTGTATTTGTTCAGCATAGCTTGGGTCCTTTTTAGGAGCTGAGTGGCAACTTCCTCAAATTCATTGTCCACTTAAAAAAAAAAAGAGAAAAGTTGTAAGAGATACTAATCACCAAATTACTCTTCCATTTCCTGAGCCTGAGATGAACTAAATCCCCACCCAAACACATCCTCTGTGTGGCAAGCTCCCTTCTTAGGTAAGCCTTTCCTTGGTCAGGCACCATGCTGCCACATGGCTTTCCTGCACTGTCCGTTCTTTTCTTTTTTTAAGGAACTCAGATTTGTTTATTTATTCTTTATTCTTTATGTGTATGAGTGTTTTGCCTGTGTGTATGCAAGTGCACCCATGTTGTGCAATGCCTGTGGAGGCCAGAAGAGGGTGTCAGATCCCCTGATTGTTAGTCACCATGTGCCTGCTGGGATTTGAAACTTGGTCCTCTGCAAGAGCAGAGCCATCTCTCCAGCCATGAAAACTCATTTTAACACAGCCCAGGAAACCAACAGCATAATTCCTTTGCTATAGAGCAGATCATTAAATAGAGACTGATTAACTAGCTCCCAGGATTGAAGCCTCTAGTCCTTTCCAGAAGCAGGCCAAACTGAAATACATGAATCAGTGAAGTCTGACCATCCAGGTCTGGACGACCAATTCAATGTAAAGATACAAAACAGTTCAAGAAACATTGCAGGTCACGGTCTGTAGCTCTGGCCTTGGACTTTGAGTCTCCAAAGACTTCACATGTTCTAATCACTCTTCTCAGAGTCTCTGACCCTCTACTCTGGACCTCCCAGGGAAGTCCATGGATGGGGAGCTAGCACTGTACTCTGAGATCTCACCTTCAGGAGAGGGAAGTGGGTGGAATCTGGCCCTACCACGGGGCTTAGAGAGACAGCAGGTGCAGGCAGCAGGCTGGGTAGAGTTTGGGGTGTGAGAAGGGAGTGTACTCCCTAGTCCTCTGGTCAGTTCCCTGAATTTAGCCAATGCCATACAGTTGCTTTGGGACGCCAGATAATTTTTGGGGGGTGGGGTGGGAGGGAGTAGCTACCTTGTGACTAGCACTGATCAAACAGTTAAGAGCAGGGATCAAGTTCAGATGCACTACAAAGCCATCTCACTTGCAACCAGCAGCTCAAACTGGGCTGCCCATTCCCTGATGCCCACGTGTCAACAGGTCTGAGGCCTCTGGGGATCCCCTTCATAACATATTAAGAGAAGTCACAATTCTACCTCTGGGCTGGGGAACTGAGTACAACGGGAACAAGTTAGGTCTGTGGTGAGAAAACAACAGCCTGCCCCCAGCCGGGATGCCGTGCTCTTCTCTGAGGCTGTGTGGAGGGTAGCTGGGGTCACCACTGTGCCAGGGCTGCAGCTGTTTACCTTTCCTCAAGTCTTCCTCTGTGGGCATGGAGCCCTGGCACACGTGGTAGGACAGCAGTCTCTGCACCGCATCATTTAGTGATCGGAATTGGCTTTTGTCAGGTGTCACAGCATGGGCTTGGTCCCTCTGTAACTGCTGGAGGATGCTTTAAAAGGGAAATGGTGATGGTCAAGGTAAGGTCACATTAAGAAATCAAATCTCATCATGATGTTTATTAGCACACAAAGGAAATAAAGAATGCCATTTTATTGTTTCTTCTGTCTTATTCTGTGTATTATTACTATGGCCCTGACCTCAAATAGCGTTTCCATCAAGCATTATGTGTGGCACTCACAGAGAGTTGGGTAGTGGCTGGTGCTCGTGCAAACACTGCTAATCTAAATACAGGGGCTTAGCATGCTGCAAACTATGTTTCTCCTAAGAGAGACTTTGTCACTAGCGACAAAGAACTATTCTCCTTAGGAACAAAAGGGTGAGGAAGAGGATCAGCTCTATCTGGAATACTTCTAGGTCCTAATGGAAACAAACTCTAGGAAAAGATTTTCCAAGTACATTTTCTCTTTGTGTGTGGGTGTGGTCATGCACACATGCACCCATGCATATGTGTGGAGGTTAGAGGACAACTGGCAGGAGCTGGTTCTTTCCTTCTACCATGTGGTCATCAGTCTTAGAGGCATGCACCTTTACCAGCTCAGCCACTTTGCCAGCCCCACCTTGTTTTTTTTGAGACAGGGTTTTTCACTGGCTTAGAACTCACCAAAATAGGCTAGGCTGGCCAGCCAGTGATTCCTAGGGATCTGCCTGTCTCAAGGCCTCCTGGTGCTGGGATTAGAAGTACTCACTGCCATACTTGGCTCATTTTTACATAGATTCTGGGTATTGAACTCAGGTCCTCATGCTTGTATAGCAAGCACTTTACCAACTGAGCTATTTCCCTATCCCTCAAAGTACTTTTTAAAAGATAGACTGTGGCCGGGCGTGGTGGCGCATGCCTGTAGTCCCAGCACTTGGGAGGCAGAGGCGGGGGGGTCTCTGTGAGTTCAAGGCCAGCCTGGTCTACATAGTGAGGTCCAAGACAACTTGGGGTACAAGGAGAGCCTGTCTCAAAAAAAACAAAAAACAAAAAAAAAAAAAAAAAAAAAAAAAAAAAAAAGAGACTATGAACCAGGCATGATGGTGCACACCTTTAATCCCACAGAGGCAGAGGCAGGTGGATCTCTGTGAGTCTGAGGCCAGTTTGGTCTCCATAGTGAATCTAGGCCCACTGTGGCTACAGGGAGACCCTGTTTCAAAAAGACAAAAAAAAAAAAAAAAGACTATGTAGTTTGTAGTTCTGACTGGTTGGTCACTATGCAGACCAGGCAGGCCAAAACTGACAGAAAACCACCTGCCTCTGCTTTTTGAGTGCTGGGATTAAAGGTGTGCACTACCACGCCTGGTTGCCAAAGTACATTTTTGAAAAGGATATAAACTCATAAGTGTAACCTGAAGTATGTGGCAGAAGGCCAGGGATCCACAGAAAAATTGAAAGTTGGTTTTTCATTCCTAAGGGTAACTTACAAAGCTCCTTTAGTGAGTTGTTTGGCAGCAGGCCTTTTCTGTCCTCCGGAATGACTGTCCACCTAAAGAGAAAATATACCTTCTTATTTCTCTTTCACAGAAAAAAAGAGAAAAATGCAGTTATATTTAGATGTCATTATGTTCAAATGTTTTCCATTACATATTTCCATTAACATATTCTAAGATTTCAGAATGTGCCTGCTTAAAAACAAAATAAACAGGGGCTGGAGAGATAGCTCAGCGGTTAAGAATACTGGTTGTTCTTGCAGAAGACCTGGGTTCGAATCCCAGCACCCACATGGCAGCTAACAACTGTCCGTAACTCCAGTCCCAGGGGATCCGACAGCCTCTTCTGACCTCCGCAAGCATTGCATGACACGGGTGCACTTTATCTACATGCAGGCAATACATGCATACACATGAAATAAAAATAATAAAATTAAAAAAACAAAACAAAATAAACAAACAAGCACAGCACTCTCCATGTAGCAGAGAACTGGGTTACATTTACAGAAAATGGTACTGGGAGTTCCTTAAAAGGACTCAGCTTGAACTTTTTTTATTTTTTGTCTTTTTGAGACAGGGTCTCCCTGTAGCCCCAGCTGGCCTGGAACTCACTATGTAGACCAGGCTGGCCTTGAACTCAACAGAGATCCACCTGCCTCTGCCTCCCGAGTGCTGGGATTAAAGGCGTGCGCCGCCATGCCTGGCTTTATTTATTTTTTAATTTTATGTGTATGAGTGTATTGCCTGCATGCATGCAAGTGCACCCACTCATTCAGTACCCACAGGGGCCAGAAGAGGGCATCAGATCTCCTGGAACTGGAATTAGCTGGTCTTTAGCTGCCATTTAGGTGCTGAGGGACTGAACCCAGGTCTCTGCAAAGAGCAGTTAGTGCTTTTAACCACTGAGCCATCTCTCCACTTTTTAAAATTACATTTTAATTAATTTTGTATGTGTATTATGGGCACAAAACCCATGGCACATGAGTGGAGGTCAGAGGACAACTTGTGGGAATTGGTTCTCTCCTACCACATAGGTTCCAGGGATCAAACTCAGGTCGTCAGGTCTGGCAGCAAGAACCTCTACCCCTTGAGCCAGCCTACATTACTATATTTGTTTTGTTTTTGTCTTTTGGCAACAGGGTCTCCCTGTCCCCCAGCTGGCCTGGACTCGCTATGCAGACTAGGCTGGCCTTGAACTCAGAGATCCGCCTGCCTCTGCCTCCCGAGTGCTGGGATTAAAGGTGTGTGCCACCACATATGGCCATCACTATACTGTGGGTTTTCTCTCTGCTTCCTTGGTTGTCTCCTTTGATGTACAGAAGCTTTTTAGTTTAATGAGGTCCCATTTTTTAATTCTTGCCCTTGTTTCCTGAGCAATTGATGTCCTGTTTAAAAATATGGAACGCTTCATGAATTTGCGTGTCATCCTTGCGCAGGGGCCATGCTAATCTTCTCTGTATCGTTCCAATTTTAGTATATGTGCTGCCGAAGCGAGCACCATCACTATATTTTTTAAGAACAAGTTTGTGGATATCAGCTCCATGAATACCACCTTCTAGGTATAAGTAAGGAAGTTCCCATCACACCCAGTGAGTGTATGATGTCATAGGTCACTTCTGACAGTATGCTGAGGAATCACATAGGCCTCTGTCAGAACTCAAGAACTGAGAATGCTAGTCAGGTTTTGACTGCAGCAACCTTCATGGAGTTCTTAACTGGTGAATTTGAGAGAGAAGCAATGAAAACTGAAAACAAAATGCCTTTTTTTTCCTTTTTAATACTAGTAGTTTGAATGCCTTAAGATTTATAGGCTAGGGGCTGGAGAGATGGCTCAGTGGTTAAGAATACTGGTTGTTTTTACAGAAGACCTGGGTTTGAATCCCAGCACCCACATGGCAGCTAACAACTGTCCATAACTCCAGTTCCAGGGGATCCAACAGCTTCTTCTGTCCTCTGCAGGCATTTTTATGGCATGGGTGCACTTACCTACACGCAGGCAATAAACATAATACATGCATACACATAAAATTGAAAAAAATAAAAATAAAAAAAGATTTACAGGCTAACGTTGGGTCAAAAGACCACAGAAATGGCTTACTTTGTACACTCCTTTGTCCTATTTACAAAAAAAAGAGAAGAAAACCCCCACAAAACAAACCTTTTACATCACTTTGACCTACTTGATTTTTGGTTTTGTTTTGTTTTGATACAGGGTCCCGTCTTGCTATGTACCCCTGGCTGGGTTGGACCTCCCTACACACACTGGGCTGGTGACAAATTTGTGGTAACAGACCTATTTGTGAAATGATGATGTCGGTGTGAGTCTATTTTGTCTTTTCCTCTTTGTAGTGCTGGGCATTGGACCCAGGGCCTTGTTCATGCCAGGCAAGTGCTTACTATCGAGCTACGATCCCATGATGGTTAATGTTGTCAACTTGCTAGAACCTAGAATCAAACAGTTCTCTACCTGCACAGTCGACTGGTTAGGAGATGATCCAACTGCCTTTTCCTGCTGTGGCTGTCCGGTTCCCAAGGATGCTGGCATAACTTTGCTTCCGGAATCTTGCCCTATTAGAATTAATACAGAAGATGTGTTTATGGGAAGCAGTAAATCAGTTCCATACTAAGAGCGATTTCTTTATGAATGCTGGAAGGAAGGGAGCAGGGGATACACATCTAGAAGCTCCAGAATCAGAGGTACAAGTTATTGAAGGCTGTGTAGGCAACAGACATAACCAACTTAAAACATGGTGATAAACAGTAGAATCAGCTCTCAAGTCCACAGCTGTCAGCACTTCAGAATCTCAGACTACAACTTCAGAAAGGAGGCCACTACAGGGGAATGTTTTAACTTTCATCTTTTTAAAGTAGTAAACTGATAAGAACAATTATGACACAATATTAGCCAAAAGGCTGAGGCACCATTTTCACTTGTACTATTGTGTCATGGCAGTGTTGAAAATCTTAGACAAGACAGATATAACCTAGGGTATTCTCAGATTGGGGAGTGAGGGTTCTAAACAGACATGTATATAGCAACATCATGAGGGTAATTACAAAGTTCTGTGTGCTCTGTACACCACAGTTCATTGTTTCTAAGAAGCACATTGCTTTCACATAATGTGTCATTTAGTTAGAAGTTTTTTCTTAGCAGTCACCAAATGATGTACTGCTCAGCTGATGGTACTCTACATCTGATGGAACTCTACAGTTTATGGAACTCTACAGCTGATGGAACTTTACAGCTGATGGAACTCCATATCTGATGGTACTCTACATTGATGGAACTCTACATGTGATGGAACTCTACAGCTGATGGTACTCTCTAGCTGATGGTACTCTCTAGCTGATGGTACTCTCTAGCTGATGGTACTCTCTAGCTGATGGTACTCTATAGCTGATGGAACTCTATAGCTGATGGAACTCTTCACCTGATGCTACTCTCTAGCTGATGGAACTCTATAGCTGATAGTACTCTGCAGCTGATGCAACACAGTCTATAGTTTGGGTGCAAAGGATACAAAGACAAGGAATAATCAGAGGGAAGGTGAGATTCAGTCAGAAGACTTTGTGAAAAATGAGGGAAGTGAGGAGAGCCTCCTCCTGAGTTGGGAGGACAGGGCAGACTGCAGAGAGACTGCAAAGGCTCCTGACCTGGCAGTGCTGCATTCAAGAGCCCAGGGATCTGTGTTTGCCTCAGGCCGTCTGTGGTCTTGGAAGTGGAAATGGGGGAGGTCTGGTTCAAACTCTTTTTCTGAGCCTGTGGAACATAGAACCAAGATAAATTTTAATTTCATTGTTATGAGTGTTAATAGATTACTCAAAAAAAGTGTTAATAGATTACTCAAAATATCAACTAAATGTATTTTTTGTTGTTTTCAGATTTATTATTTATGTGTATGTTGTGTGTATCTGAGTGAGTTTTATGTGCACTATATGCATACAGGAGCCAGAAGAGGGCAACGGATTTCCTGGAACTGGAGTTTTAGGGTGCTGTGAACTGACATGTAGGTGCTGGGAAATGAACCTGGGTCCTCTGCAATAGCAGTAAGTGCTCTTAACCTCTGAGTCATCTCTCCAGCTCCCTAAACTTAAAACAAAATTTACTTTTTTTTTTTTTTTTTTTTTGGTCTTTTTGAGACAGGGTTTCCCTGAAGACCCAGCTGTCCTGGAACTCACTATGTACACCAGGCTAGCCTTGAACTCACAGAGATCTGCCTGCCCGAGTGCTGGGATTAAAGGCGTGCACCACCACACCCGGCTCAAAATTTACTTTTTAATTATGTGTTTGTGTGTGTGTGCGCTTGTCTGTTAGTCTGTGTCTATGTATGGGTATGTACATGAGTACAAGTGCCTACAGAGGCCAGAAGAGGGTGTCAGATCACCCAGCGTTGGAGTCACAGGTGGTTATGAGCCACTCAACATGGGTGCTGGGAGCCAAACTTGGGTCTTCTGCGAGAACAGTAAGCGTTTTAACCACCAAGCCATTTCTCTAGCTCCCAAACCAAGTTTTTTTTTTCTTTAAGTTTTATGTATATGAGCATTTTGTCTGCATGTATGTAGTAAGTCTACCATGGGCATACACTGCCTGTGGACTCCAGAAGAGGGTGTTGGACCCCCTGCAACTGGAGTTACAGACACTTGTGCCACATGGGTACTGGGAACCAAACCTGCAACTGGAGTTACAGACACTTGTGCCACATGGGTACTGGGAATCAAACCTGGGTCCTCTGAAAGAGCAGCAAGTACTCTGAACTGCTGAGCCATCCCTACAGCCCCCAACCCAATTTCTTTTTATTATTGTTGTTATTATTTTCATTTTATGTGTGTGAGTCTATTGCCCGCATGTATGTAAGTACATCTGTGTTGTGCAATGCTGGAGGAGGTCAGAGAAGGGTGTTGGATTCCCCTAGAACTGGAGTTACGGATGGTTGTTAGCTGCCATGTGGGTGCTGGGAATCGAACCTGGATTCTCCTAAGAGCAGTGAGTGCTCTTAACTGATGGGGCATCTCTTCCGCCCATTCCAACCAAATTTCTTTTGTTCTTTTTCTTTTTGTCTTTTTGAGATAGGGTCTCTCTATAGCCCCAGCTATAGAACTTGCTGTGTAGACTGGGCTGGCCTCAAGCTCACAGAGGTCTGCCTGCCTCTGCCTCCAGAGTGTTGGGATTAAAGGCATGTGCCCCCATGCCTGGCCCAACCAAATTTCTTAATGTTTGCTTGGTATCACTTTTAAGTTAGATTGTAAAAGAAAAGAATACTTTAAAAACATTATTCTTGGGGGCTGGAGAGATGGTTCAATGGTGGGGATCTCTTGCTGCTATTCCAGGAGAACCAGGTTCAGTTCCTAGCACCCATGTCAGGCAGCTCGCAACCCCTTGGCTCCAGCTCCATGGGATCAGACACCCTCTTTTAGCTTCGGCAACCCTCCCCACCCCATGATATTCACTCACATAGACACACACACACACACACACACACACACATTCACATAAGAAAGGGAATTTGCAAAGTACATCTTTTAAAATCTCTACACTCATGGAACTCCCCCGCCTCCTTCCCTCCCTTTGACAGTGTCTCACTATGTAACCCTGATTGGCCTAGAACTCACTATGTAGACCAGGCTGGTCTGGCACTCAACTGAGATCCATCTGCTTCTGCCTCTGGAGTGCTGGGATTAAAAGATATGTGCTACTCTGCCCAACAAACACCAAATTTTCATGACACCATTCAATGGGGATGCTGATTTGATTCCAGACTATTTTCTTGCTCACGGGACTACTGCTGCTGGTGTCTGGGTGAAAAAGCTGCAGCTAGGAATTCAATGTCTAGCCTTGATAATTTGATATTGGACCTGCCAGGATATGATTTTTTTAAAAACAAAAAAGTTCTTAGTATTTTTATAAATGAAATCAATGTGGGGCTGGAGAGGTGGCTCAGGGGTTAAGAGCAGTAACTATTTTTTTAAATGAAAGAAAAATAAGTTTGATTATGATGAAGTTTGTAAGATCTTTTTCTAATATTTTACTTTATGTGTATGAGTGTATTGCCTGTATGTATGTGAGGGCACCTGTGTTGTGCAATGCCGTGGATGTCAGAAGAGGGCGTTGGATTCCCCTGAAACTGGAGTTAAGGACAGTTCATAGCCACCAGGTGGGGGCTGGAACTCGAACCTGGGTCCTCTGCAAGAGCAGTCGGTGCTCTTAACTGCTGAGCCATGTCTCTAGCCCCCCACTTACTATTCTTCCAGAGGATCAGGGTTCAATTCCCAGCACCCACTTGGAGGTTCTGTTGCCCCTTTCTGGACTTCATGGGCACTATATACATAGTAAAAATTCTGGCAAAGTACTTGTACAAATAAAAATAAAATGAAATCAATGTACTAATCAATTTCAGACATCCTTGATTAACTCTTGCTCTCATATGATTTTATACATTATACCCAGAAGGATGTTTAGACCATGAAGATCAAAATATTTTGTCTCAATTTACAATGATCCAGTTTTGTTTTATCCCATGTGTAAAACTAACTTTATCTCATATCATTGAGAGCTGAGAGTAGCAAATAAATGGAAAATGATTTTTTTTTTTTGGTCTTTTTGAGACAGGGTCTCCCTGTAGCCCCAGCTCTCCTGGAACTCACTATGTAGACCAGGCTGGCCTTGAACTCACAGAGATCCACCTGCGCCTCTGCCACTGGGTTACAGCCCTAGTCCCTTTCATTTAGAGGTAGGGTCTTGCAAAATTATTCAAGGTGACCTTGAACGCATTCTATAGCTTAAGCAAACCCTTGAAGTTTTGATCCTCCTGCATCAGCCTTACAAGGAGCCTGGATCTGTACAGGCATGTGCCAACAGGTCCTGATTTCTTTCTAGAAATAAGGAAGATGAACTGGATTGGATGATTAAGAACTAACAAATTCAGTCCAGCCTGGTGGTGCAGGCCTGTGATCCCAGCTACTTGGAAAGCTAAGACAAGATCACAATTTCAGCCTGGTGTGGTGGGGCACACCTTTAACTCCAGCACTGGGGAGGGAAAGGCAGCCTGTTTTACACAATGAGTTCCAGGCTAGCTGGGGCTATAGGGAAACCCTGTCTCAAAAAGACAAACCAAAACACCAAACCAAACCAACCAACCAACCAACCAAAAACCAAGATCAGAAGTTCAAGGCCAGCCTTGACTAAAGAGTGAGGTCAAGGTCACCCTGGGAAACTCAATGAGATCCTGTCTCAAAATAAAATGGAAAAAAAGAGGGTAGAAAATGCATCCCTACTGTGTTGGATTCTCCAGTACCACAAACAAAAAGCAACTAACTGGTTCCTCTTGGCCTTAAAAAAAATATGTTATCTCCATGATGTTTGGTCTTATTGTTATGTGGTGCTGGAGATGAACTCTGGGCATCTCACATGCTGGGTGAGTGCTCTATTGCTGAGCTATCGCTCCTGCTTTATAATGCTTTTTGTCTGTTTTTTTAAAAAAATGATGTGTAAGAGTATTATGCCTGCATGTATATAGGTGCACATGTGTGTGCAGTGTTCATGGAGGACAGAAGAGGGCGTAAGGATCCCTTGGAACTAGAGTTGCAGAGTGTTGTTAGCACATAGTAGGTGCTGGGAACCAAACCTGAGTTCTCTGCAAGAGCAGCTAGTGCTCTCAACCATTGAGCCATCTCTCCAGCCCCTTTATTTTGTGATATAGGGTGTCATGTACCTCAGGGTTCTGGTCTTGAACTTACTAAGTATCAGAGCCTGGCACTGAATTCCTGATCCTTCTACCTGCATCTCCCAAGTGCTGGCATTACAGGTCTATATCACCATGATTGGCTAATGCTTTTTTTGTTTACTTGTTAAAGATAAATTCTGCTATGCAGCCCAGGTTAGCCTGGAACTTACAATCCCTCCACCTCAGCCTTGGGCTCTTGGGTTCTGAAATTATATAATCTCTTCCTTAAAAATTTTTTTAAATATTTTTATTTTATGTGTATGAGTGTATTGCCTACATGTATGTGAGTGCACCTGTGTTGTGCAATGCCTCGGAGGTCAGAAGAGGGCTTCAGAGTCCCCTGGAACTGGTGTTAAGGATGGTTTGTAGCCGCCATGTGGGTGCTGGGAATTGAACCTCTGTCCTCTGCAAGAGCAATCAGTGTTCTTAACCACTGAGCCATCTCTCCAGCTCCATAATCTCTTCCTTTTAAAGAAAGTTTCACTGTTGTAGCTAGGAATGTCCTTGAATTCTTGATCTTCCTCCCTTTTCCTTCCAAGTCCTAGGATTACAAGCATGCATCTCCACATCAGCCACATAATACTGTATTATAAGTAATATGAGCTGGGCATTGTGGTGCATGCCTTTAATCTCAGCACTCAGGAGGCAGGGGCAGGTGGATCTCTGTGAGTTCTAGTCCAACCTGGTCTCCACAGTGAATCCAGGCCAGCTGTGGCTACAGGAAGACTATCTCAAAAAGACCAAAAAAAAAAAAAGTAATAATGGGCTTTAAATAGTTTATCTTCCAATTTTAGTCCTTTATGCATAATGTAGTCAAGAGTCTAGACTACCTATCTCCACAGAGGGCTTAAACATAAGTGGAATGTTCCCACCTGTTCATGTGTAAGGGCTCACAAGGCCCTTGGCAACCACTGGAAAATCAACTCATGTTACCACCTCTGTTCTAAACAGCTGTCTACTTGGGGGTATTCCTTCTTTGGAGGTGCTCCCAGTCTTGGGAGTTCTTTCTCACGTTTCCTTAATAAATCTACATTTGCTCTGCTTTTTTTTTCTTTTTTTTCTTTCTTCCTTTTTTTTTTTTTTTTTTTTTTTTTTTTCCTTTTTTTTTTTTTTTTTTTTTATTTTTGATACAGGGCCTCCAGCTGACCTGGAACTCACAGAGATCCGCCTGCCTCTGCCTCCCGAGGGCTGGGATTAAAGGCACACACCGCCAAGGGCAGAAGAGACAGCTCAACAATTAAGAGCACTTTCTGAACCTGGCACTCACTGATTGGTTAGATTGGCTGGCTAGTGAGCGCCAGAGGTCCACCTGTCTCCATGCCCCCTGCACTCGGGCTGCAGACACGGTCTGAACTTGGGTTCCTCAAGCTTGCTCGGCAGGCACTTTACCCACGGAACCACTCTTAAGTGAGGGGAAAGTGTTAACACAGATCAAGGCTGCACAGTAGATGGGGGAAAACAACAGTAAGAGACACACAGAAAAACACAAATGAGTAAGTTCAAGTAACCAACACACTCTATAGCCGAGTAGCCTAGTAGAAACTGGGAATTTCTTCCAGTAATAATGGTTCACATTATAGATGAGAGGCATCGTTACAGCTTAGAGCAAACTTTTTTTCTTTTTAATGGCATCAGCCAGCTTATCTCCAACCTTATTTACCAGACATGACCTGAATTATCCCCTAGCTATCAAACAAGCAAATGAAACTGCTTGCAGTAAAATTGTTAAGAAAAGCAGCCGGGCGTGGTGGCACAGGCCTTTAATCCCAGCACTTTGGAGGCAGTGGCTGGCTGATCTCTGTGAGATTGAGCCCTCTAGAGAGTGCCAGGTCTAGACAGGCTGGCTGCAGCAACAGGGAGACCCCATATAAAAAAGATCAAAGGAAGCCAGGCGTGGTGGCACAGGCCTTTAATCCCAGCACTTGGGAGGCAGAGGCAGGCAGATCTCTGTGAGTTCAAAGGCCAACATGGTCTACATAGTGAGTTCCAGGACAGCTGGGGCTACAGGGAGACCCTGTCTCAAAAAGACCAAAAAATTAAAAAAAATTTTTTTACAAAGATGAAGTCACCACAGAAACCAGAAAAGGGGCTGAGGCAGGGAAGATGAATTGTAGGGTATTAGCCACATTCTGTTTTTTGAGCTAAGTGGTAGTTGCCATAGTTAATGACTATACCTTTTCATTTTATGCATTTTTTTCCTAAGGTGGTTTTATTTCATAATACAAGATTAAAAGAAACTAAGGGGCCGCAGAGATGGCTCAGTGGTTAAGAGTGCATAGGGCCAGCCAGAGGTGCTGGCGTATGCCTCTAATTCCAGCAATTTTGAGGCAGAGGCAGATGGAGCTATGTAAGTTGGAGACCAGCCTGTTCTACCTACTGAGTTCCAGGCCAGCCAGGGCTACATACTAAGATGGTCTTTAAAAAAAGTGTGAGGGGCTGGATGGCTCAGCAGTTAAGAACACTGGCTGTTCTTGCAGAAGACCTGGGTTCGAATCCCAGCACCCACATGGCAGCTAACAACTGTAACTCCAGTTCCAGGGGATCAGACAGTCTCTTCTGATTGCATGACACAGGTGTGCTTACCTACATGCAGGCAATATACACATACACATAAAAATAATAAAATATTTTTTAAGCTGGGCATGGTGGCACATGCCTTTAATCCCAGCACTCAGGAGGCAGAGGCAGGCAGATCTCTGTGAGTTCAAGGCCAGCCTGGTCTACATAGTGAGTTCCAGGACAGCTGGGGCTACAGGGAGACCCTGTCTCAAAAAGACCGAGAAAAAAAAACTTTTTTTTAAAGTGTGAAATAGCCGGGCGTGGTGGCACACATCTGTAGTCCCAGCACTTGGGAGCCAGAGGCAGGCGGATCTCTGAGGTCAAGGCCAGCCTGGTCTACATAGTGAGTTCCAGGACACCTGGGGCTACAGGGAGACCCTGCTTCAAAAAGACAAAAAAAAAAAGTGTGGAAAAAAAATGTGTATACTGTTCTTGCAGAGGACCCAAGGCCAGTTCCAGCACCCACATGGTGGCTTACAGCCACCGTAACTGTAACTCCAGCTCCAGAGGATTTGACACCCTCTTTTCTGAACTTTGTCAGCACCTGCATCTCCATGCACATATCCATAAATAGACACATACATATATACATAACTAAAAAATAAACATCTTTTCTAAAAAGTTGTGTAACATTGTTTTTTTTTAATTTTATTATTTTTATTTTATGTGGATGTGTGTATTGCCTGCATGTAGATAAGTGCACCAGTGTCGTGCAATGCCGCGGAGGACAGAAGACGCTGTCAGATTCCCTGGAACTGGAGTTATGGACAATTGTTAGCTGCCATGTGGGTGCTGGGATTCGAACCCGGATCTTCTGCAAAAACAACCAGTGTTCTTAACCACTGAGCCACCTCTCCAGCCCCAATTTATTTTTAAAAAATATTTTATTATTTTTATGTTATGTATATGAGTCTATAGCCTACATATATATAAGTGCACCTGTATCATTCAATACCCAAGGATGTCAGAAGCCAGGTCAGATCTCCTGGAACTGGAGTTACAGATGGTTGTGAGCTGCTATGTGGGTGCTGGAAACTGAACCTGGGTCCTCTGTGAGAGCAGCCAGTGCGCTTAACTACTGAGACATCTTTCCAGCCCTGACATAATTTTTTTTTCTTTGGTCTTTTTGAGACAGGGTGTCCCTGTAGCCCCAGTTGGCCTGGAACTCATTATGTAGACCAGATTGACCTTGAACTCACAGAGATCAGCCTGTCTCTGCCTCCCAAGTGCTGGGACTAAAGACTCAGTCCTCCCAGTTTGAGGGCAGGACTTCAACATGTCTGGTTCACTACCACA